TACATAAATTATATATCTTATAACTATATATTTATTATATGATATATTATCTACAAGGCCATTTTCATGCAAGTATTAATGTACTTTGAGCATGCCTCTGTGCCCCACTATCCTCCCCTTTCACCCCTTCCCACTAATCCCCTTTGTTTCTTAGACAGTCTCACTTTTACTTTCAAGTCATATGTACATATATATACAAAAATATATACATAGTATATATATAATATATACTATGATTATAACAGTACATATATATATCTATAAAGTCAAAGACTCACACACACAAAGAAAGAAACCACAGAAACCTCCTGATTTCCCTCTCAATTTAGTCAACTGAGTCACAGTCAAATATGCGCCACAATTAAATGAGAACGGTGAAAGGGTTCTGGTCCATGCTGCCGATAATGGAGCAGGCAGAAGACTGAACAAGTAAAGATGAGATCACTGATCCAGACCCACGCTTCACCCAGGAAGTGAAGAGAGCTGACGCTTCTATTCTGCACTCTGTTGTATGGAAGGGCTTAAGTAAGAAAAGCTTAACATCAAGTAAAAGATGAGATCAGCATGTATGAAATAAGAATTTTTTAAATAATTAGCATTTTGTACATAAGAAAGGTATTAAAAATCAAGCTCCGTGACTTCATTGTACTAAGAGCACCATTATAATCATTAAATTATTAGAAAGCTTGAGCCTTAAAGTCCTAGAATTGGCTTATATAGAGAGAAAGGAGGGTTAGGCTGGGAAAAAAAATAATACTATTTCTTACCATTTCCAACAGCCTCCTAGGAACCGTCTCAAACTCTGCCCGCGGCAAGCTCCTTTCTCCCTGGTGCTATTGACTTGTGTCTCCCATTTGTAGGAACACCCGGCTGGGAGAGCTGGGGAGGCAGGGCCAGAGGTGGTCCCAAGAGAACCCTGGCCAAGCCATTTATGGTCAGGGGAGTAGCCAAGCCCTCAGCCCATGAACTCCTGTCCCCTAGACACTGCATGTGGTTCAAGTCTTCTTTGCCTTTAGTTTATGTCCTTTTTACTTTGCGGGCAGCTTCCTGGATCCCAGCTAAGAAGCCACAAACTGGCCTGAGAGCTTGGAGCCCCCACTGCGGGCAGCTTGTTAGAAACAATGGGTCACACAGGCTGAGGCTGGCCACTCCATCCCCAGCTGACAGGCACCACACAAAACATGTTCCTGGCCATGATGGGGGCAACATGCCATTGGTATCAGCATGGGAGATGGCTGCAGGAAGGTAGTAAGGCCACTCTGTGAGAGGCAAGGTTATGGCTGCCACAGGGAACAACACACCCAGTGTTCCACAGCCAGTCTGGTGAAAAGTTTGGCTTCTACTTTCTGTCCTTGCATCTTGAGTAGGAGTCTTCTAGGGCTGAGGCTGCTTTTAATAGTTTATTATTTCTGCCATGAATTTTCTATTTAAGATAATGATTTGCAGGGCTGGGAAGATGGCTTGGTCTGTAAAGTGTCTGCCCACAGCATGAAGACCTGAGTTCAGATGTCCAGCATTCATGTAAAAGCTAGGCACAGCACAATTAGGTGGTAGAACAGGTGGCCAGGAAAGAAATTATGGCCTCACACATATTTAGAAGTCAGAGCCAGCAAGATAGGAAAATTGGGGAGGTCTTGCGGGGGAGGTCACAGAAATGAAATATTTCAAGAAGGGGATGGTAGGTAAAAAGTACCAGTTGCTGTTGAGAGAGAACCCAGGAAATAGTCAGAGCAGCATCTGATCCCCAGTTGGGGTTGCTGGGGACTCTGACAAGAGTGGTTTAATGCACAGTAGAGAAGACTGAGATTACCTTTAAGTTATTTAGGCTGTTCATCCCAGCTGCACACTTGAACCATCTTAGAGAAATTTCTGATGCTTGGGCCACACTCTCAGAGGTTCTTTGTGAAATGACCAGAATGTAGCAGGGGCATTTCCAGGTGATGCTAATAAACAGCCAGGAGTGACAGTCACTATTGTCATCAACCACCTGTAATATGCCAGGCACCGGATCCCTGTATTGGACAAGACCAATGAGGCCTCTGCTTCAGGAGGCTTCTGGTTTCCAAGATGTCAATGACTGTCTAAACTGAATCTACTGGTACCTGGAAGTTGCAGAGTCAACATAATGAGACCTGAACTTAAAGCCACAATTGTCCTGTAGACATTGTGTGGTCCTAAGCAAGCACAGTCACTCCTTTCAGCCTCCACTCTGAATCTATAAACTGGGATGTTACAGTTTACAATGACCGGACTGTTCATCAGTACTATTTCAAAACAGGCTACTAAATTTGCTTGGAAGACATAGAATTATAAGTGGGCCAGAGAACTTTATTAAGAATCAGGCCAATAACCATGTCCCATGTCCTGTAGTCTGGCTATGGATGCACAAGGCCACTGAGGTCCTTTCTGACTCTTGTTGCTATACCCTCACTGATCCCCAACTCTCCCTCTGATGGCCATGTCATCTGTTTGGTTAGTTGCCATGTGCATTCTAGGATATAGTAAGCTTGCAGAGGTGAGACCCAAGGAACCAGGCTCTGGAAGACAGAGTGAGGTTTGAGTAGTCAGGACTCCTGGACAGTCTTGAGCGTATCCTTAGGAAAGTGAGCTTCAAAATATCTCAGTCTCTTTCCCTCTACCCCCTATACTGATCAAGACTCTGATCCCAGAGATCAGCTTAGTCTGGAGTGAGTCACATGCTAAGGAGGACTGACCACCCATATGGTGGTCCCCTCAGTAAAATCTCTCCAATGGCAAGAGACGGATCTGCAGAAGGAATTTGGATGTGTGAGCCCAAGAAAAGAGGATGAGTGAGGTAAGCCAGCTCCCCTCCTCTGGAAGTACAGATGCTCCTTAACTTACAATTGGGTTGTGCCTGGTAACCGTACTGTGAATTGAAAAGAGCAAATCAAAAATTTGTGGAACACAGTCAACCTCCCAAACTGCCCAGCTTAGCAACACTAAAGACAGAGTGTCAGTTTGTCCCCACTTGTGACCATGTAGCACTACGAAAGAATATCTTACCACATACTGCTTACCTAGTTAAAAAGGAAAAAATTAGAGGCTATAGTTTTTATTAAACGTGTAGCATTTTTACGCCATAGTAAAGTTAAAGTACTTACAGTCCAAGCACTGTAAGTTTGGGGCTGTCTGTCTTAGGCTTGAGAATCATCTCCTTAGAAACAGTAGAAGGAATGCCTTTAGTAGGAGAGTGTTTAAGGACCCCCAACTCTGATTTTCTGGTCATTTAAATCATTCCAACATTTTAATTAGGACAATTAGTCACACCAGTGATTTACTAGGCAAAACTTGGTCATCTTAAAAAGCTGGACCAGATTCAATAGTGGCTGCCCAAGTCTTGATAGAGTGCCTTAGACTGAATGCCTTATGAACAACAGCGTGTGTATTACTTTTCTGTTGCTGTGATAGAAATACTGACCAAAGTAACTTATAGAAGGAAGAGTTTACAGTTCCAAAGGGAGCAAGAGTTCATGGCGGGGAGGCACAGTGGCAGAGGTGGCTGGAGGAGGAGTGGAAGCTAAGCTCTCACATCTTCAAGCAGGCACAGGAGGCAAGAAAGCCACTTGAGATCCTGCAAGGCTTAAGAACTCTCTAAGTCTGGCCCCAGTGACGTGCTTCCTCCAGCACAGCCACACCTTCTAAGACTTCCCAAAACAGCACCACCAACTGGGGACAAAGTGTCCAAATGCTTGGAGCCTATGGGGGACATTTTCATTCAAACCACCACAGAGTGCCTTATAAATATGGTTCTGGAGCCTGTCAAGTCTAAATCAAGGTCCCAGCTGAGTTGATGTGTGATAAGGTTCCACCATCTGATTCACAAGCAATCATGTCTTTGCTGTGTCTTCACATGGTGGAAGGGACAAGGAAGCGCTTTTGAGTCTTTTATGAGGATACGAATCCTTCGTGGCCGGATCACTCGCCCAAGGCTTGCCCTCTAGCATCATCACCCTGGATCTAGTATTTCATTGTATTAATCTTGGGTATACAAACACTAGTACAATGGACTTACTCTGACTTTTCTAAAATATTTCTCTGGAATGTCAGTAATGATATACTGAAGGATCAAATATTATAAGGAAGGATCTTGTCACTGCTCTACCTATGAACGTGAAAGATGAGTGTTGTTAATTCTGTCCACCAAATATTTCTAGCTTACTTTGTTCTTACATGAAGTTGGGGGTAGTGAAGGTACTGAAAGTACAGAATCCATTCCAGGCAGCATTAGCAGCCATATGACTAGTCATCAGCTCTATGTCATCTCCACTTGGTGCTTCTTCATCAGCCTGCCCCCGATGGAATGAATGGAAAAGCTTCCAAACAATGAGAAATCAATGTGCAGTATGGACACAAAATATATTTCTCTTATGTAAAGTCTGAGAGATCTGGGAATTGTTCATTGTTGCAACAGAAGCTGGCTAATACACTGACTAACGTACCACATTCACATCCTTGCACCAATGGGCTCATCTGTTAAGTCCTTGGACCTTGCCATGGCTCTCTACTATCTCTGACTATCTATCACCTATATCTCTAATCAATCTCTTTTCTACCTAGCTTCACATACACACACACACACACACACACACACACACATACATATATATAGTTATAGATAATATATGACTAGGAAGATAAGTTTTTAAAAAATAGTTTTTAAGCTATGTGTAGTTCAAAACATATGTATGCTTTAAAGGATTACATTAAGACCAATCAGGATGTTTATAAACACCCTTCCATGGTGTAACCCAAAAATCCCAGTTCCTCACCTAGCCAACCTTAGCATATCCTTTACCAGATGGCATCTTGTCCTTGTGTTAGAAATGATCCTGTATTGCTTAGAGTCCCCACAGCAAACAAGTTGTAGACTCAACTCACTATCACAAGGCTTTCCCTTGTGGCAAAGCGCAGGTCCCCAGGGTGGACCAGCAGGAACTCATTGGCACCCCTCAGCCTGAAGGGGCAAGTGGAAAGAGGGGCTGCTGAGCTTGGAAAGGGAGGGTAGCCCCAGGAGTCATGCCCTCCGGTTTTAGATGCCAGGTGTGGTTCTCAGGTACAAAGCCAGGTGGAGAAGAGTAGATTCTGAAACAGGGGGCAGGTAAGAGGTGTCTGCCACATCTGAGGCAGCATCTTCACAACTGCCAGGTTTCCAGCTTTAGTCCCAAACCTGGGACAACTACCAAAGTGATCTTAACTCTCCTCATACCCTTCTAAGTCCAATGGGGACCTCTGTTGGCACTGGGGTTCTCAACCAGAGCAGAAGTATTCTGCCCGTTGTTGCAGTTGTACATAAAGTTGACACAGAAGAGACCCATTTTGTCTGAAGTGGTAACACAAACCCAGGACACGGCAACAAATCCACATTCTTTAATGAAACCATCCTTTCTAGACAGACAGGGGTTATCTCGTCCCCATGTTCTCTTCGAATGACATTTTACATAAAATGTAAAATTACTCAAAATTAAAAAAAAAAAAAACCCTTAGAGGTAACACTTTAAACGCCTTTTCTTCTTTCTTTCCTTTCTTGGATACTGTTGAGAGTTCAGTCAACAAAGCAAATTTTAAAACCATCTGTAGAAGCTAAGGAAACTTCTGTTCCCAAACTGCACTAAGATAATGAGAGCTGTCTAAAGGGGAGCAAAGGGGCCAGACCGAAAGCATGTTCCCATGTGAACTCACTGGCTAACTGTGCTTAGTGAATTATTTAAACAGGCTGAGCAATTTATGAATACTACGAAACTTAGAGGGAAATACTGAAATAGAAGGAAATTTTAGAGAAAATAGCGAATCAACGCACAGACTTGCCTCTTCTGTTTGGAGAAGTTCTGCCTAAAGCTGATTCCAGATCCTTCTCTGCCTTGGGATACAGGTTCAAGATTCTGCTAGCTCAGAGTACACTAGACTCAGAGGCTGGAGACTCAGACTCCAAATATTTCATTGGGTCATTTGTCCAAAAGACAGTTTTCTAGTCTTAGAGCTCTGTGACACCTCAAGCCCTGGTATCTGGTCAAAGGACAAAGTAAGCTAAAGGATAATCCTCTAGCTCCTCCATCCATCCACTTCCAGGGACATTTTCAGGAGGGTCACTGAGCAATTGGAAGGGTCAAGGTGGGCACCCGAGTCTTTCTGCTGAGTGGACTATCTCTTGGAGGTCAGCCTGTGGCTCTTTGCAGGACTTGTGTCATGTGCAAGTCCCCGTGGGTGCCAGCTTCTAGAGGAGAGGCCCAGCAGCCCCAGTTGAATCAGGGGCTGTCTTCTGGGAACATGTCACTTGGAGGTCTAAATAAGGGCTTTCAGAAGAGCTTCATTGTTGTAAGTTGGCCAGGTAGTGACCACTGCTAAAGCTGTGTTTCTGAAATGTTCGCACTAAAGAGAGAACTATCAGTGTGCCAGCAGGGTGGTGAAACCAACTCCTTTCCCTGCCTCCCATTTTCCATGGAATTTGTTCATCTTATTTAGATGTCTAAAAGTAAAAAATGCACAATTTTCCTCTCCTTGGAGACAGGCAGTTAACACATACTTTGTGCATCTTGATTTCAGTTTCACCTTTGACAGACAAGATGAGACAAAAAGGAAACCTCAGAAAACACAAAAATTAGAGATGGGATCCACTACAATGGACTTAGAGGATCAGAACCAAGGGCTGAGCTGCTCCATTTCTTATATAAAGCTCTTCCTGGGTGGGTGAGCCAGCAATCAATCAGGACATGAGGATGGAGACTGAGCCTTGGGGTTTCTCCAGGGCCAAGAAAAGCCAGAGAGAGCTGGGTAAAAGAAGAGGCAGAGCCTGTGGGGCCAGCACCGGAGGTCTGATGATGAGCCACAGCCAGTGGGTTGGCACTTTTCATGCTGCCCTGATTAAGGCTTTGACAGCTGATGCTTACATATACATATATACAGATATATATTATTAATAATAATACTTTGTTTTTCTGTTTTAAGGAAAAATAATCTCATGCACTTCTTTCCCTCTTCTTTGTCCCATTCTAGTTTTAACTCCCCGCAATCACTTCACTTGGACGTAATCCTCTGGTGGCAAATTATGATCTTTAAATAATAGAACCTTCAGATGGTCACCAACATTTTGTTTAAAGTGATGGGTCATCCCAAAGGAATTCGGGTGCTTGGGAGCTACGTCCTCTCTAATCGGAAACACTCTGGTGTGTCACTCTGCGTTCAACACAACCCAACAGGACTTGCTGTTATGTAAACATTATTTTAAAATTATTCCAACATAAATACTCTTTTAAAGCTAACACACCACAGCTTTTAGCTCATAATGCCCAGAAATGCCTTAATGAAATGCCATTCAAAACTATTTTACTGTATCAGTTATACCTTGAGGTGCTAAAATTATGTAAACATCTCATCCTCTACACTTCTCTAGAATAAGTGCCACAAAGTGTTGCGAATTCTGGTTGCAAGTTGGTGACTGAGTGATGGTTAGTCCAAGCAAAGTTACCAACGCATTCTTCAACCTGCCGGGTTACATGAAGTGAGCCATGGATGGATTTGTTCCATAAGATGGCAATTCTCACGTAACTTGGAATTACTAGTTTTTAACCCAATCAAGACCTGAATTGGACCTGAGATGACTTTGCAAGTCTTGTAGAACCAGTTTGAACCGGCTGTTGAGGGGTCAAGTTTCACTGGAGCAGGCACTTCCACAGCTGGAGGTCTTTGGAAGCCGCTGGAACCCAGAGAGCAAGTGGCACCTTCTCTATCTCAGTGAGTAAAGGAATATCAGAATGAGCCAGGACATCTTCTTCTCAGCAACCTGGGGGTTCTCACCAGCAAGTGTTCTGCAGATATTGACAGTGGATTCTCCTTACTGCAATTAGGAATGGAGCGCTAGAGGGGGTGAGGACAGTCAGTGATAGAGGAAAGTCTTGAGATTTCCCATGCTGAGCTCCTCTGTGCACTGGAATGCCTCTTTTATGCCTCACATCCATGTTCCTGGGTTTCCTGGTTGGCTTGTCCCTGGCAGAGGAAAGTAAAACTTGTAACAACTCTGCCACAGCCAAGCTATTACGTCAATGCTCAGTGTGGATGGTAGGCAGCTGAGTCTCTAGGATAGGCTCATGTTGCCTGGCACTATGGAAGTGAGTCCAGAGCAGAGGAGGGAGCAGACCCAGATTAGCTTTTTGCCCCATAGGAGCAAGGGATGGAGAGCAAACGTGGACAAGCATAGCTTGTGTGGTCCCTGATATCAAACCTCCAGTCTCTTTTAGAAGTTGTGATTGGTAACACTGCAGCCAGAACCAATGGGACATTTTTTTGCTCCTCCTGTTGGTCAGTGCCATGTACTTTCATCCAAATATATAGTTTCAAGAATGCATTTTGAGTTTTTGTTGTTGAGAAAAATACTATACACTGTTTGGGGCCTGCTGATTCACAAGGTGCTATTTTAAAAACATTCTTAGTTCTTATTTCTAGAACTTCGGTGCTATTTCCTCATGTGCAAGGCATCCTGGAACTTGGTGCTGGTGTACTGGGCATGAAAGCCTTTCTTGTTGATGGTGTCATCTGTGTGGAATCGAATCATCAGGGAATCCCCCGCAGAGTAGATTTCTTCTAATGGCTGAGGAAAAGAAAAAGAAAAACCAGATTTTAGGTCAATTAGTTGCAATTGAAGCTTAGATGTGGATGGAATAAGTGGTACCCAAGGATACAGGATGACCAGGAGGTTTCCAGGGGCTCTGAAGGACATCTAAACAGGCTCCTTTTCAAAGGAAAGCTCCCTAGACCCTATCTTTCCAAAGATGAGCTTAGGCACACAGCACATGTAGAATTCATCATTTAGGAGAGCACGGGTAGGGCAGGCACTGCACTAACCATGACCAGATCTCATCTTAAGTAAACTTCTTAAGAGTGTAACAAGGAGGCTGGAGAGATAGCTCAGTTCTTAAGAGTAGTGGCTGCTCTTGCAGAGGACCTGGGTTTGAATCCCAGCATCCTCATGGTGGCTAGCAGCACGTAACCAGTTCCAGGGGTTCTGACACCCTCTTCTGACTTCTGTGGGCATTGCACAACATGGGTGCACTTACATGCATGCAGGCAATACACTCATACACATAAAATAATAAAAATAAATAAAATATTTTTCTAAAAAAGAGTGTAATAAGGAAGGTGTTATCTCCATTTTATACTCAAGTTCACATAGGTCAGTAGGACCCAAGTTCAGGTCCTTCTGACTATGAAATATGTTCTATGAACATATTAAAGCATTGTATCAGGAGGTCTCACTTGGTTGTTCTTTCTTTGAGGGATGGCAAGAAAGATGGAGAGAAGCATTCAACAGCATAAATACCAGGCTGTTTCTGTTTAGCACAGGAGCAGTGGTGATTCCAAAGTGATTTGCATAAGTCCAGCCAATAGCAAAGAGGCTTGAGTGATCAGCTCCACAGCAAAGACAAGGGCTGGAGCCCAGTATGGACAGTGTCCAGTGCTGTGACCCTGTACTCGCTGGTTCTCACACACCCACTGAGCACATACTACATACCTACTTCAGTCAGATGCTGGGGATGCAGTAAATCTGGGAAAGAGACAGTAAAGAGAAATGTGGCAAGGACTTTGACTATAAGTACTGGACTTATACTGAGAATAACTGGTAATCTTCACAGGCATTTAGTTTTACTTAAGAAGAGAATTGTGAATATAGGGAATATACAAAACCACACTGATGTAAGAAAGCCCAACAGCCAAATAAAAAGGAGAGACTCTTTCAAAACAGTGGCAGAGTGCTCTTCCACAGCTGGCCACATCCTTCATGGACTGTCCCCTAGCCACCTCCCAACCACCTCTTGCTGTAGAAAATTGGTTTCTGGGTTGTTGTTCATAGTGGCAGGTAGGACTCCAGAATGGGTGTGACTTTGCATGCATCAAGATGCAACCAGGCATCCCTCAGACTCACCCCTGAGCCACAGAAGCGGCCAAGCCTGGGCGCCAAGCTGTCATAGCCATCATAGGCCTCCATGAAGTCGTAGCCACAGTCGGCCTCCTCCTCGACTTCAAAGGTCCGGAATATCAGCTCTACTCCATAGCCATCCTCCGCCACTATCACCCAGTCACAGCGGGCCTGGCTCGGGTAGTTGTTGTCCCCAAACTGGGCGTGGGAATAGAGCTCTTTGGTCTGCACTTCAGCCTTCAGCCTGCCCCCGCACTCTGCAGCAGAGAGAGACAGAGGGAGAGAGAGAAACAGAGACACTCACTCTCTCCCTCAGCACCCAGAGCCCCAGTGTCAATGCACCTGCTTGCCCGAAGCGTCTACTGTGTGCCTTGGGGCTAGGCAATCCCTCCATCCCACCTCACAGTGGAGTAAGCAGAGGCCAGTAGTCTGGAGGGCAGGCCTCTGGGGGAAATGAACTGGCCCTTACAAGCCGAGGTTCCTTGTTGCCACACTGGATCACATGAGGTCTGTGGAAATTCCCAAGAAAGTTACAGAAAAAGATTGGCTGTTGCCTGCTCTTCCCACTGAGGGAGAAAAGGTGCCTATGGATGAGTGGCTTGCCTGACTGATAGCTGGGATGTAACTGATCTGACTACTCCAAGCCCTGGAGGTGCTGGAAACAGAAGGGCTCCCATCAGCAGCACTCAGCGGCACCAGACTACTGTTATTCATCATTTCTGCCAGCAGAGGGCGAGAAAAGCACATCAGGTCTGCATTTGACCCTGCCAACACAGAAACCTCAGTGTCCTTGTGGGTGTCACAGGTGAACTGCACCTTTGGGCTTATATCTGTAGCCTTGGATTCTGGGGTTCCCTTCCAGACAGGACAGTAGCTCTGTGTGGCCTGAGCTTACCCCAACTTGTATCTTCATAGGATAAAATGGATAAATGAGATTGGTCTAGACTAGTAAGCATTAGAAACCCTGGAGGCAAATTTCTCCACTCCTGACCCTCAGGATGTTCCATATGCTCAAGGACTAGGGACACAGAGCTGCCCCAGTGTGGTCTGTGGACCACTTAGTACTTAATACTCTCAGGCTGGAGCTGATCACCTGGGCGAGCCAGGCCCTGTCCAACTCTAAATCCTTATTCCTATATTTACTCTGGCTAGAATCTCTTCAGGTCTGACCTGTCTTTCAAACTCTTGAGACAGAATGTTTATACAGAGATGACAGAGAGGGCAGGACACCTCATTCCCTATTTTCTCCTGTCTTAGACAGGGAGGAGGGAGGAAGAAAGGGAAGGAGGGCACCAACAAAGGGTTGCCCACATCGTTTTATCAATTAAAGACATCAAAAGAGAACCACCCTTCAGACTATGACAGCTGCTGATGGTTCATTTAACAGGAACACTTTAGCATGTCACTCCCCTCACCCTCCCTCCCCACACGATCTGATGGAAGGTGGTCCTTCACCACCCCTATCATATGTGTGGAGCTAGGTCTGATACCAGTGGCCCCCGCACCTGTGCTGTGCACAGCCTGGAAGCCTTTCCTCTGCACTGAGGAGTCCGAGTAAAACTTGAGGAACAGGCTGCTGCCTGAAGCCACTACAGGGTCTGGTTTCTTGCTGCCACAGAAGCGGCCGAGAATGGGGGCCAGGCTGTCAGTCCCATCGTAGAGTTCCAGGTGGTCATAGGCACATTCCTGGTGCTGCTCGATCTCAAACTCATTGAATGTCTGGGAATGGAAGAGCAGAAAGTGAGGCAAGGACCTGGTGTGGAGCAGGGGTGGGGAGGGGAAGGACATCTGCCCACCATCCTTGTAGGGGTGCCTAGGGTAGCTGTGATGACACTTGGAGGCACTGACAGACGGTCCCTGCTGAGCCTTGCCTTCAGTCCCCAAAAGTAATCCTTAAGGTAGATGAGCTATTTTACAGAGAGGACTGTCAAAGTTCAGAATGCAGATGCTTGCTGATAGCGTGTTAATCATTCAGCTCCAGAGCCAGGCCATGGACTAACCAGACCTGCTTCCTTCCACCCCTTGCTTAATGCTTGGAGCCAGTGAAGGCTGAATGCTCACCCATGCTGGCAGCTGTGTAAATGGCTTTACAAGCATTTACTTAATTAATCCTCACAACCCTGTCACACGTCCAATCCCCATACCATAGTTGAGGAAACAGAGGCAAGGGGTTGTCAGATGCCTTGTGGTAGAGCTGGCATGTACCCTGGGAGCTGTGGCTTTAAAGATGCTGTTCTTAGCCTGTACCCACCATCACACATTTGAAATCCCCATGGCTTTGAGCAGGCACATTTGCTCTGCCGCCATCCTCAGAGTGGCTCTAAGTTACTTTTTGGGTATTTTTTCCATGGCAATCATTTATGGACATTTTCTTACTTAATTCTAGTGAAGCTATGAATATGTGTTATTATGCCCAGTGTGCAGAAGGGGAAATTGAGTCATAAAGAAGTTAATTGGCTTAAGTTCATTCAGTGGGAGATAAAATTGAACTTGACCCTTAGCCAGCCTTTTCCAGCCCACACTATTAATCATAACCAGAATGCGTCACTTCCTGCCTCTCTGTCCCCCCACCAAAGGCTGTCCTCTGATGTTGGCCAGGGGACCCCAATAATTTCAGGCCATACACAGCTCCCTGGTTTTTGGGAGACTGGCTGGTTGATGGCCTGCCTATGGTATCAAGCTGAGCAGAGAGTGTTAGGTGAGGCTTGGACCAAAGAATCAAAAAGAGAGGAAATTAACAGGGTGTGGGGCAGTGTTGGGAGGGTGGTGTCGGGGTACAGCTGCATGCCAGGAGGGAAAAGCAAAGGCGCCCTGTCATTTCACAGGAATGAAAGACACTGGAAATGGACAGAGCTCTCATGTCTTAGGAGAAAGGAAATGGGGCCAGAGAGTGATGGGTAAACATTAGACAAGAGCAAGAAGGAGAGAGCAGGGGGCTGGGGGGGGGGGTCATGCAATGAGAGGGAGTGGCAAGCTATGGAGGTGGGGTGCTCCCCCAAAGTCCATGGATGTCCTGCCGCTGTCCCCATGCGGTGACACATTAGTCTTCTTCTGGAGTATTTACCTCCCTTTCTATGGTAGCAAAAGATAGAGTTCTATTAACATAGCCACCATCCATTTTCCAAGGAAAACTTTTTTAAACTAAGGGTTGTACCCAGACACCTCAGAAAAAGGCTTCCCACTGTGCAACTGTGCAGGTTCATGGTCCCATCCCCAGGGGCGCCATTCCCTCATGATCATTAGGTTGGACCTTGCCATTGCAACACCGCATATTTCCAGCAGATGGCAGTCTAGGGTAAAGCCGGCTTTCTTAAAGGCAAGCCTTTTAACTCACCCTCACCCAGATTCCAGATGTTCTGAGAGACCCAGTAAAGCAACTTCTGGGAGCAAGAGCAGAAAGCAGTTCCTATTTTGGCAGTTCATGCACAGGAGTTGCTCAAGGAGCATGCTGCGGGATCTGGCATCCCTTCTGCACCCCTGATATTGTGGAAGCCTGTCTCTACTTCTCACTTGGGGTTCTCAGCAGGAAACACCCGGTACCATTACCTACTGATCACTAGTTCTCCCACTGGTCCCTTCCTTTCTCCCTGGATTATTGGTCTGTCATTCATTGTGTGTGTGTGTGTCTGTGTGTGTGTGTGTGTCTGTGTGTGTGTCTGTGTGTATGTACGTGTCTGTGTGTGTGTGTGTGTGTGTGTGTGTGTGTGTGTGTGTGTCTACGAAAGATTCTCCAGCTGCCAGCTGCTTTGCACTCCAGACTCTGGGAGTCCCTGGGGGCTGAGATATGGGACTGGAAGGACAGACTTGTTTCTTTTTCAAATAACTATGTATGTTTTGCAGACCACACAACAGACACACAGATGAGATTTAGGGTGAGGCCTTGCAAAGTGGTTGCTGATTTTTTAACTCAAGAATTAACACAATGGTCCTGTTGTTAATTTTTAAATGTAGATTGCAGAAGAGTATGAATCATTGTTTTCTATTTGGGTAAGTTGATTAAGAAAAAAAAATCTATATTTTCCCATGTGTGGGGGACATCTCAAGAGATTTACTAATTTCTAGAGTGGGAATGAGGGATCTGAGGTCTTGTAATTTTCCCTTCTCAACCTTCCATAGGAACTGAATCTTTCATTTTGTTCTTTGAGAATGTAACGTGCTGTAAGAAATCAACACTGGAGACAAGCAGTGCTGCAGATCTGTGTGGTGGTCTCCACTGCATGCCAGAGCCACTTGGAGGAGAGCTGTTACAGGAGCCCCTGCTGCAAGCTTCACTAGCATCTTCCCATTTTCCAGTAGGGAAACTGACACCTGGACATGCTGAAAAGTGATGGAGCAGGGACTTGAAGCCACGTCTGCCTAACACCAAAGTTTATGTTCTAACAAACTGATGAAAGGACTCACAAGTTTCACTCTGTGGCCGGCGGTTGAAGAAATGTTCCAGGTGCACTCCTTCCGGCTGGGGTATTTGTCAGGCCAATTGGGGCTCGCCAGGGTCCCCTCTGCACTACTGATCTTGTGTGCACAGCCAGCTGAAGGTCAGAAGGGAACACAGAGTCAAGGGGAATCATTCAACTGGGGGCACCATCACAGGAGAGATTCAAGGTCATTATCCACTGTGTGGGTAGCTAGCCGGCACCTGGTATGACCTGGTAATGATTTGTTTGACCCAGCCTGACTGCCTTGCTGGGCTGTGGCTCAGGAGGTCAGCCATCTCTGTCCCTATGACTATTCACATTCAGGTTGGCATTGTGAATATGATAAGAGTTAGTACCAGGTTAAAAGCACAGGCCCTGAGGTCAAGTGGAATTCAGTGCAAGTCCTTGCACTACCACCTATGGGATTTGGACCACTTACATCCTTATTTGTAAAAGGGGTACCAGGCTAATAGATGTATATTAAAAGACACATATAAAGCCGGGCATGGTGGCATACGCCTTTAATCCCAGCACTTGGGAGGCAGAGGCAGGCAGAACTTTGTGAGTTCAAGGCCAGCCTGGTCTACAGAGTGAGTTCCAGGACAGCTGTGGCTCCAGGGAGACCCTGTCTCAAAAAGACAAAAAAAAAAAAAAGACACATGTAAAAGACCTGGTGAGTGCCTCCTGTAGTGAATGCTAACAGAAATCCCTGTATCTTCCCTCCATCAAATGAGGGAATGAGGGAAGGCTTTGATCCGAAGCCTACCTGCTTTGTTCATCTTGCTTTTAGTAGCATAAAGCGGTCCCATGTCTTGTTCAATTTTGGCCAATAGCTGAGTTTGTCTTCTGTGGTGAGCACTGTGCTCGGTGCTTTGCATTCATCCTCCCTTTAATCCTCCCACCTCCAAGTAAGAAGACAGAGGGAGGCATGTGGTCCTCACATCTTCACTCCCCCCCCACCAGCTCCTATACTGGGCCCTTCACTTCCCTTCTTTACAGGACCTTGACACCAAGGCCTAAAGCTATGTTTATGGAAGATGCACAAATTCTCTTCACTGGGGAAATAAAAGCTGAGGGCAGGGGTCTTCCACAATGGCTGAACACGTGAAGCTATCTGGCCCTGAAGAACTCAGCAAAGAATGAAGAGGGGAATGAGTACAATTTCCCCCACATTCTATCCACCATCAGTCCTACATGAGATAACACTGTTATGACACAGACTTAAGGCCTGGTGTTTACTGACATCTGAGTGCACAGTATACGTTAAACTGTCTCAAATACTCTTTGGGCAGCCTTTAATCCTTATAAAAACTTTAGGAAGGAGGCATGTTTAGCTTTCTTGTTACAAAAGGGGAAACTGTGCTTCAGAGTAATTAAGCAACTTGCTGACAGCTGCATAGTGAGTGGCAGAGCAGGCATTTAGATCTAGGCATATTGATTCCGAAGCCCACTGGCTTAACCAGTTTGCAACAGCCACTCATCTTTGGCCTCCTGAAGGCATGAGCTACCCGGGGGACAACTACTGTCCCTCAGGAGTCACCAGGGGTGTGTGGGGGGGAGCAGGCAGATGGAGATCTCAGGGCTGTCTGCAGATGGTGGCTCCCCATGCCAGACTCCATAGTGCTCCCTCACCCAGGAGCGCAACCTGAGAAGCAGGTGAGGCCCAGACAGCGCCAGGCCAGCAGCTCCGCTCACCTTCTTTGCAGTCGTGCCCGTTCTCGTGCAGCCGATACCCGTTCCTGCACCTGCACAGGTAGCTCCCGAATGTGTTGACACACTCCTGCTGGCACCCGCCGTTATCCTTGGCGCATTCGTCCTTGTCTGCTGAGATCAATGGACTCTCCTAAGAAGAGCTGCCAATTTAGGAATGTCCCTCATGGCTTAGAACTGCTTCCTTCAAGGAATCTCCCAGATTGCCCCCCAATATCCCCTTGAAGGGGCAACAGTAATGAGGCAGCATCTTTGCCTGGGATGTGTTGGGCATCCATTCGTCTCTGTTGAGTTCTCCATTTTCCGAAAGCACCTTCTTGCATGGCAAGCATGTTCTCTGCCCTGCTTCCCACCCAAACCAAGGACAGACTCATATGAACAGCATCAATAATGAAAATAATCAATATGTATGGAGTATTTACCACAGAATGGGTCCTTCCCCAAGCACTTCCTATATATTGACTAAAGTCCCATCTACACTTAAAAGGGAGGTGCCTGTGCCCCCAGTTTACATGCAAAAAAAATAGGTTGGGGTGGTCCATGTGCCCAGTCACTTAGCAAGTTGCTTATGCAATCTGCAGGTCCGGATTCACACCACCTACTCTGTGTGAAAAGGTAAGTGTGCAGGCCAGGGGCCACATGGCAGGTACTTGCCCATTCTATTTCAGCAGGGTGGTGCCTGACCTCTGTGCCCCAGTTGCCTTGCCTGTGAAATGGAGACAGGTTGCTAGAGGGGAAAATTGGAATGGGAAGGCCCTCAGGAGTGTCTGGCTCCAGGAAGTATTGGCTGCTATAATTACAATCACGTGTGACTTCAGTATTGGCTCTTGTCCTGGGATTCCCAAGTCTCCTGCCAACATGTCACAATGGCCCTTCTCTGAGCCACCCTCTTCTTTAGTACACGAGGCTTTATCTCACTGGCATCACCCCTCCCTTTTGTACCTTTTGCCACCATAGTTTGGTGGCCCTGAACGCTTTGCATTGTAGCTTCACCCTTGTATTTCATGGAAGCAACTAAGAACCCACCCAGAACAGAGTACAGACAGGCTGCCACAGCCCAGTACTGGCCTCCCTTCCTAAGTCCTCCTGCTGACACTCATGGGGCCTCTGTCCTTAGATTCTGTATTGAATGAGGCCCCTCACTAGGACCTGCACACCCGCCTCTAAGGTGGCTCCTGACCCTCTCAGTTTCACACTGTTTGGCCTGGCTTGATCACATGGCATCTGTGATGAGAACAGGCCTCACTTCCTGTCCCATTGGACCCCACATTCATCAGCATTTAGGCTCTTTATGACCAGCCCTGCCTGGCCTGGCTCCTCTCATGCCTATGGCTTCTTGGGATGGTCATGGCTCCTGCTGGGCTGCTTTCATCTCGGTTTCTGTGCTTATTGAGACCCTGAATCCAAGCTCATGCTACCGCCTCTACTCCAGGCCTTGATCACTTTCTAGTCATCCCAGCTCCTCCACAGCCCTCCCAGCCCTTCAGATTAGACCTGGCCTAGGCCACATGCATCCAGCAGAAAACTTTTACACACTGTCCCAGGTGTGCAGGGCCCTAACTCCTCCAAACATCAGCCCTTGTCAACCCAGCTTAGCCCACAGTGCCTTAAGCTGGGACCTTGCAGGGTATTGTCTCCCTGGCATCTTGGGCTATGGTATAAGCTTGTGTTGACCTATGCACAATCCTGGCAACCTCTCTGGACTCAGGTCTGTGTTGTACCCCAGACACACACACACACACACACACACACACACACACACACACACAATTAAACCAGAGATTGTTGAATGAGATACTGCCTCCCTCCAAAAAATCAGAGACCGAACTGTAGGTACCTATACAGCCAGTTTGACTAATGGACCTGTTCCTATACTGACCACTAAGAAGATAGAGAACCAAACTCCTGTCATTTAACAGTTTGCACTTCAGTGACAGGACCTACTATGCGATTTCTGGCACAGTTGAGTTCAGATTACTAGCTTCTAGAATTTAAGAGAGTAAGATTCTTTGCTTTAAGCCACTCAGCATATGGCAATTTGTTAGGGCAGACCCAGGAGATGAACTGGATCACCAGTATAAAAAACACTGCCAGGGTGGAGGATGAAGAGGAATGGGGAGGAGGCAGAGAGGAGGTGCAGGGACCCCAAAGTCCAGGAGCCTTCGGGCCTCTGCAGGCCCGCCCCACCTGCCTGAGAAGAAGTGGGCCCTGAAGCCTTGTTTGGAGACCGTGTTGTCAGACTTGAACTCCACACGCATGTTGTTGCTCTGCGATGTGATGACCTCGGGTGTCTCGGAGCCACAGAACTTGCCGTGAAGACTGGCATCAGGGGCCAGACCACTGCGCACCTCCACGAAATCATATTTACAGACCTGTGAGGGAACATGGACCAGGGCAGTGTGCTGCCCCTCACTGTCCCCACCTGGAGTCCCTTCCCAGAGCTTCACTGAGTGCTATGTGGCCTGAAGGAGAGGTGTCCTCTGCACTGGCATGTGCCAGTGAGCTCTAGAGGGTGCTGGGGACCCCCTGGCTTTCCAGAGGAGGCTCTGTGAGGGGTGCCACTTCTGGCATTAGAGCTCAGGGTCCCCACTTATTTCTATTCATTTTATGTCTTGGACTATTACAAGAGATTTGGCTTCAACAAAGGGCCCCTGCTAGAAGGAGAAAGCAAAGGAAGAGAGGGGAAGAGATGAAATGTTTTTAAACTTCTTGGCCCAATTCTCTGATGTAGTTTCATGCAGATAAAGTAATGCCCAGAAGGGAAAAGACATTTGTCTAGAGTCACCCAGCACAGCAGTAGTGGAACTAGGACTAGAATCCACATTGTCTGACACAGCACAGAATTTTCTCGGAAAAGAACTTAGCTGCTGAATGGTCTTTTCAGGTGCTCTCAAAGGGCTATCTTTTGTGTGCAATGTTCACTTTGGGGTGAACCCCTAATTGGCACCAGAGTCTTCCATTTGGCATGGGAGTCTCTCTTAGTACCCCCTAAAGGGTTGATGGAGCAGATGAGATCCAGGCAGGTGCTGTTGCTAAGGTGAGAACCCCAGTTGGGCTGGGGCAGGGGTGTATGGAGAAATACCTGCAGCCTCAGGGGGTCCACTATCCCTGGGTGCAGACACAGGTACACACATCACTCTGGCCGTAGGACATTGCCTGGGCCTCACCTGACTTGGGTGAGATAAGGGAATGGGCTGTCTCAAGAATCCTTGTCTATAGCTTCTCTTCATTTCTTCTGTTTCCCTCTGCTGGACACCAACCCCCAGATCCATATCCTAGGGCTTGGATCTGTCCTGATCACTCCATCCCCAACTCCTGCCTCCCCTACTCTTGTCCTATCCTCCCTGGCTTTATCAGTGACCTTCCTCCCCTACCCCTGATTCTGTGAAGCACAGATCTCAGGTCTATAAGAGAAGCAACAGTTTCAATAAGGTCAACTTAATGCCTGCAGAGTCTATCCTGGTCCCTAGCTCTGAGTCACTTTCCAACACAGCCCCGTACCCCATCAGCACAGGACAGAGACTTACGTCATTGCCTTCTAGTTCAAATGCTTCAAACTGCAAGGAGATGCGGTACTGCACGGGGGCCACCACCTGCCAGACACAGTTCTTATTTGTGGGGTACTCCTTCGGCCACCCCGGGCTGGTGATGGTGCCATTCAGCTTGGTAATGAATCCACCACAGGCCACTACATGCAGAGAAACAGACGCAAGATGCATCTGTTTTTGGTTTCAAGTGACTGCAATTTCCCCCAAGCAGCAGTAAGCCCTGCTGTTCTTTAATAATCATGAAAAAGTTAGACAATCTGAACTGATTAACTCGGGTTCTTTTTTCTAGACTAATGGTTTCAACTGAAGTGCCAGAGGAACAAAGTTGGGAACAAGTGGATTTCTTTTAAAAGTGATGATGGTACATTTGATCCATCACACAGTGGCACAGTTGAGGGCTCCACAGTCCTTAGACCAAAGGAAAGTTAGAAATGCTACTCGCTGTACTAACTTGCATGAGCAAAAGGGTGGGCAAGTGAGCAGAACTCAGGCCAGGTGGACAAGGCAGACGGAGAGCTATCAGCTGAGTCGTGCTGATGCACTCATAGTTCTTCACGTCTCTGCTGTGATGATCATGTGAACTTCACACAGTCACAGTACACAACAAACCGTAGACAATTGCAGTTTTGGGAGAAGAGGCTGTGTAATTTAGTGGTTCTTTCCTATTTGGGACTATTATCAACTTGTTTCTCCCCAGCTGCCCATCTCTACTCCTACTTTTCCTAAAACTTATCCCTTATCCCTTGTCATTTCAACTTGATAGGTACAATACCAACCTTCACATGTCTTCTTGTCGGCGGCCAACTCGTAGCCAGGGTCACAGGCACATGAGTAGCTGCCCAGTGTGTTTACACAGCGCTGTTCACACCCACCATGGTCTGGCCAGGAGCACTCATCTACCTCTGTGGGGAGGGAAAGTTCCAGAGCTAAATCATCGCCGAGCAGCCCAGTCCATTCCCTCCCTCCCACATCCCAGGGCCCCAGGTCCAGTCTTCTATAGCCAGGGGCTACCTCCCAAGAAATCCTATGCCCACAACTGACAATCAGATGTAGCTATAGTAAAAAGGAGCCTCCTGACTACCCAGGCAAGGACATCTGGTCATCCAGAATAGAAGGGACAAAAAGCCCAGAGAATGGAATTCTGCAAGGTACCTATAAGCAGGTATGTGTATGATTTCATAAATCTCATCACAGTCCACAACAGGGACCTCATCCATTTAATGCCATGGAATTAGGATTTTCCACCTATAAATACAGAACTTCTTAGAAACATTCAGTACAGGGTGATAACAGAAGGACGCACTTCGTACACAGACTTGGAAGCCTGTAGTGCAGCGTTTTTATAGGAATTCTTAAGAAGTTACAGGGAACACTGGGCTCTTGGGTTAGCCACTACTCTTTGGAGAAACTGCATGGTGGGCAGGAAGGAGGCTGGATGGTGGAGAGCCTAAGGGATTCAGCACAGACAGGTTTCCATGACGTGCTTGGAGAATTAAATAACAGCAAGTAGGTTGCCAGGAGCTCCATCCAGAGACAGAACACAGGAGTCACTGGAGAATCTCCTCCGAATACGTTACCCCACAAGCCACTGAAGAAAAGAAAATCCGTAGCATTGGCCATTTCCAAGAAGAGTGTTAGGAATGCAAGGAAAACCATTCTGTGGCCAGGCTACGACACATCTACGAGAGAGGGCCTGCACTAGAGCAGTCTAACACAGGGACCACAACCATGCACTTCTGAGACATGTTTAAAAGTGAAAGTCCAGTCTAGAAAGAAGAAAAGATACGGGTGGGGCAGAAAGGGGAGAACAGGTCACTGGCACCATGGGAGGTACCTGAGGAAAGAGAAACATGAAGTTTTCACAAGGTCTTGAAATAACACATTATACATGAAATGAAAGAAATCAGGACATGTAAGAGTTGGTAGCAACCTGGAAAGATAGATGCCTCACCTCACCACCTCAGGCAGGATGCTCTCAGTAATATTCTTGATGATAGATCCTTGCTAGCTACTTTTCCAAACTATTTCTTGGGTGGTCTGGCTTCTTGCAACTCCCAACCCATTTGTAGAAATGCAACCCTCCATCTTCCATTCCTCCCTCTACACTACCCTCTCCCAACTCAAACAAACTCACTCTTTGCCAATCCTCCTTGTCTGTGATGCATGAATTCTTTATCAGCCTGGTTGCCCTTTACCAGGAAGTAGACTGCTTGTTAATACCCATCATTTCACCTAGTGGATAGGATACAGTGTAACTCTGAGCACCAGGTGTCTTGGGCCCCACAAAGACTGAAGTGAATTTGTCATGGGACGACTAGGTTTAGAAGAGATGCTGTAGGCAGAGAGGTGAAGTTGTCTGTGATTTCCAATACATGTAGTATTGAGCATGTTGAAACCACATTCATGTAGCTCTCTTTGTTCATTGTGTTGAAATATGAAAGCACTTTCTTGGGCATCTGCTAGAAGATTTAGAAAGAGGGGACTATCTAGGAAAGTAAAAAGTCTGGGCTTTCAGGAGATCTGGGTCTGTTTGGATCAACTGGTGGACACTGGCTTTAAAATGGAAAGAATTGCCCAGCCTTTAGTGATTGAACAGGATGGCTATGAAGGGCTGGCAGACAGTGTACAGCGGCCACTTCAGACGGCAGTGGCACAGTTTCTGTAGTTCCACAGCAGAGAGACAATGATGAGGAGAATGGTGAGAGAAAGCTACCTGGGCCTACCTGACTCAGGTGGGAGTAGGGCAGTGCAGAGGGAGGGGAGCGAGACAGACAAGAGCAGGTGAAAGAGGAACAGATGGAAGGGCACAGCAGACTCAAGAACTCCACCAATGAGCAGAAGGAAACTGAGGAGAGAGCCCAGCAGAAAGGATAAAGTTAACCAGGTGGGGGCAGGGGAAGCTCTAATGCCAGAGGATGTGGTGGCTGTGGGCAGGACACAAAGGTGAGTAAGAAAGGCCTTCTGTCTCTTAGCATACCCTTAGCCAGGTGGAGGAAGAGAAGCTAGTGGAGTGGGCTTAGGCCTAAAGCAAAGAAAATACAATTCTGGCAGAGACATAACTCCGGTGTAAGCCAGTGAGAGGAATGAAAAGAGGACTTCTCAAAAGTAAGAAGGGCAGTGGGTTGAGTGACCATCTGCAGCCCTGCTCCAGCATGGGTGGTTGGCGGGCAAGTAAAAGGGCACTGGGGCCCCATTCATGCCAGGGCCTGGCTGGCTACATGGCTTCCACACTGCCATGAAGTACTATCTGCATCCAGCCCACTGGCTCATGCTCACTCCCAAAGAAAAGAGGAGCACAAAAGAGGACAGCCTCCTCCCACGCAGAGTGTGTTGGGAGGAGAAGAGGCTAGAGCCAGGGCTCGGCCAAGTACGGCAGGAGCTCCAACTTCTTCCTGTTCTTCAGGTGGCCTAGGAAAGGGAGGAGCCACTCTGTGGCTAAATAATGAGACTGTCTAGGACCCCAAAAATTGCTTCAGAGAAAGAGAGAGATGAGGAAAGGGAAGACAGAGCACATCACCGGGTGTCTGAAGAAATGCCTTGAAGGAACCCATCCCCTCTATACACATGTAGTCTCTGGGATGGTGGGATTAAGGATTCAAGTAGAATTTCATGTTCCTTATAGAGGAGGGTATGGGACCAAAATGGCCCAGCCAAGCTTTGAAAGCTACTGCCAATCTTTCAAAGTAACAAGAAAATGTTCTGTCTGCTGCCTAGCCAATCAGCTCTGAGAATGGCTGCCATCTGGCACCAGGAGAGCAGCACTGAGGCCAGCTGGCATCCTGGCCCATGTCACAGGCCAGCTGTGCCCCAGGCAAGGCCTGCTGCCAACTGGCACCACGGCATAAGCTTCTCTGGCTCTCCCCAGCTCTGCTACAGGCTTCGAAGTGATGTTTCCCGTTTCTTCCCCTGGCAAGGAGCTGACACACAAGCCAGGCACTGTGCTCATGGAGCACCTTACTGTGGCCTTGCTGGGCAAGGGAAGCTGGGCATTATGATTCTCACTTTATCTCTCGCTCTTCCATGGGTGCCAGAAAGGGGGGGAACAATAACCTCATATCTTAACTCAGATCCATCAGCTTATAAAGGGTCTCTAAGTCATTGTTTCATTGGGGATTCACAACTGTCTACTGAAAATAGACAGCTTTCTTTCCATCTGTTATAAAGGAGGTAAACTGAGGAGGGAAGGGAGGAAGCGGCCTCCCCCAAGTGGGCATGAGTGACTAGACACCTGGGGAAATGATGTCATGATGGAGCCATAATGAAGGAGCCACAGGGACCAGTCATCTCCACCAAGGGCTGCTGACATGTTCTGGGCATCCAGACACAATGCACTACGCAATATTCCTGTTCCCTTCCTAGGAGGTAGTCTGAAGCCTCTGGGGGCCTAAATGTCTACTCAAAATAAGTGTGGAAGCCTTCTCTTCTGTGGTCAAGAACTCTGGGTCTGCTTATATGGTCTGGTCTGGTTCTATCAAGGTTTGTATCCTTCCTGTCCTCCCATCCCACTCCTCTTGGGCCTGCATAGAGGCTGCAAGCCAGTCCTCCCAGTGGAAGGCTTGGGTAGCCTTTCTGGCCCACATCAAGGACTGCCAGGCAAGGGTGTAGAAAGGGTCTGGGCTCTAGAGTCAGACGGGGTTTAGATCTTCAGTTTGTCACTCATCTAGCTGAATGACTCTCAGTTTCCCTTCTCAGCACTGAGCAATGCCATCCAACCTTAACTCGAAGGGCTATTATAGGAACAAAGGAGCATCAGGTAAATCAGGTGCCTTGCACAGGCTTTGACACACAATAGTTCTTGATTAATGATAGTTGTCATGCAGATGCTTGTTATTAATGCAGGGCTTCACTAAGGGTAGTGATTGCACCTGGTAAAATCACGAGAACTCAGGGGTTGGGAAGATGGCTCTGTGGGTAAAGCATTTGCTGTGTAAGTGTGAAGATCCAAGTTTGTATCTCCAGCACCCACATAAATACCAGGTAGGGGTGGTGGCCTGCTTATAATTCCAGCCCTCAGAAGGCAGAGACAGAGATCCTCAGAGTAAGCTAAGTAGTTAGACTACCCAATATGAGAGAGCCTGCCTCAGTGGATAAGGTGGAGAGCAACCTCAGGCCTCAACATGCATGCACACACATATGCACCTGTACCCATGCACATATACATGTATCCACATGCATGTGAACCATACACACAGACACATGCACATCCACACACACACACATACACACACATACACATAAACATCCACACATATACACACACATCAACACACACACACATGCACACACACACACAAAAACATACACACTCACATGCACACTCACACAGACACACCCACACATACACACACATACACACACACATACACATAAACACATACACACACATACATACACACACAAATACACTCTCATACACACACATACACATATAACCACACAGATACACACACATACACACACATACAAACACATACACACACACATACACATACACATACGCACACATAGATAAATACATATACACACACATACACACATACACACCACATGCATGTGAACCATACACACAGACACATGCAAAAAAAAAAAAAAAAATCACTAGCTCTCATTTTCCAGTACAGAAAAATCTTCTTTGTAGAAGCCAAGTTGAGCCTGTTTCTCATGGGTTCTAATAACAGCTCTGAAATGAGCCTGTCTTCTGCAAAACCTCTCTTGCCGCTAAGACTTCATACAGGTTGTGTGTATCTATAACTGGGGAAATTGTATTTTTCCCATGAATGAGCACAGAAACAGACTCCTAAGCCATACCCTTGAAAAAATTGGCTGCAAAGCCCGCTTTGTTGATGGAGCCATCAGACACAAACTTCACCCACAGTCGATTGGCACTGGATTTCACAGCCTCTGGCTTCTCATAGCCACAGAAGTGGCCAATCAGAGTGCTGTTCTCTGTGGGACCATCCCGGATTTCCAAGTAGTCATAAGCACAGCTGTCATGCCTTTCAATCTAGAGACAGAAACAGAGGCCACACAGATGATGCTGGGTGGCTTGGGTTCAAGGTTTTAATTTTTTTAAAATTTTATGTGTACAAGCATTTTGCCTGCATTTAAGTATACCATGTGTGTGCAGTGCTCACAGAGGCCAGAAGAGGGCATCAGATCCCAGTTTTTTAGCTGCCGTGTGTATTGGGAACCAAACCCGGGTCTTCTATAAGAGCAGCCAGCGCTCGTAACTGCTAAGCCATCTCTCCAGCCCCTGGCTTCAAGATTTTAAACTTATGAATAAAGCCTAACCATCAGTCTCAAATCTAACCAAGTCAAGTGTATCCTGGCCTTCTCTAAGCTGTCTCTTTGCTGCAAAAAATGAATCAGGCTGAGGAATCAAGAGAAACAAGGAAGATAATCCTACAAGACAGCCTTGATCTCCAGCCTCAAAGTTCACTTCCATCATGCTTCACTCTCTCTCAAAGTCTTCAGGAAGTATGGGAGCTGAATGGTAGAGTGTGCAAAGATTTTGATTTCAGATGTCCAGGCAATATGCACTGTGGGCTTGAAATGAGCTTTTTAACCAAAAAGCTCATTTAGATCCTGTCTTTAACCAAAAGTAAAACTCATCTCTTTTTTCAGTGTGTATATGTGTGTGTGCATGCGTGTGTGTACAGTCACACTTACAGGCGCACCTGTGAAGGCAAACTTGTGCCATTTATCAGGAGTCATTCACCTGTTTTTTGATAAATGGCTTCTTACTAGCTTTAGGCTCACCAAGTAGGCTATCCTGGCCAAGCAGCAGTCTTCAGGGATCCGTCCGCATCTGCCTCCTCAATCCTGGGATTACAAGACCACACCACCATGCCAGGCTTTTTTACCAGTGTGCTGGGGATCAAACTCAAGTGCACATGCTTGCAATGTAAGCGCTTTACCGACTAAACCACCCCTCCCCGACTCTATCCACTGTCCTTTTGTTGTTGAGACAAAGTCTCACTATGCAATCACACTGACTTAAAACTCACCATCCTCCCGTCTCAGCCTCCTGAGTGTTGAGTTTCTAGCATATTAGGCCAAGAACCCATCTTTACAGAGCAGAGTAAGGAGCACAAGTCAATAATATTTCATCCTCAGCAGCACTCACCTCAAAAGCTTGGAAGGTAAGTCCCACATGAAACCCGTCCGCCACCGTGATCCTCCACACACATTCCTTGGAAGGTCTGTAGTCATCGGGGTAGTTGGGAGATTGAATCTGACCTGCATCTTTGGTAATGTCTCCCCCACAGGTGGCTTTAGAAAGAGCACAGAAGAAGGACCCTGGTCACAGCTTATGAAGGAAGGCGAGTGGCCACCTCTCGCCACTAGGTGGCTCCACATGCCAGTATTTTCTTCAACAAAGCCGTCCTTAGAAAGGGCACAGATGCAAGTTTTCAACTTTGAATAGCGATGTACATCAGAACCAGGTAGGGGCTTGTTCTAAGTATGGGAGATGAGGCCATATCCCCAGGGGGTCTGACCCAGGTGGGCCTAGAGAAGCTGCTGCTGCAGAGGACGCATGTGCTTGCACACACTCATGCATGCAGATACACATGCATGCATGAAAATATGCACATTATTCCTTTCACAAAACAAAATTTTGACTTCCCCAAAATTTCGGTGATTCAAAGAAAAAGGTGGCCTTAATATTTTTCTAGTATTGTCCCTGGAGTTAAAACAAACAGAAGCAGCCATAAGAGGGATCATACAGCCCTTCTACATGCAAATGGACCTTATGATGTTACCAAGTCCTCTTTTCACTAATGTAACAAGGGGCCCAGAAAGGTTAATTCATTTGCTTGAGCTCACACAGTTATTAGAGTCTGCTGCCATCTCCACAGAGCTCTATACCCCAGATACCTCCATCTGCATATGGAGAAAGCCTGTTCCCTAGCTGGACTGAGAGGAGAGCTCAGAGGGCTGAACACCTGGCCTCTGCCTTCCAAAGGTGACAGAGGTATTGTACAGTCTCAGCCTGGTCCCTGTGATGGACGCATGGCCCTCTGGCAAGCTGCCATGTACACCTTGATAGTAAGCAGGCCACAACAGAAGAGAGGCACATTAGCGGTCACCTGCCTGGCTGCTCTACTGAAAACAAACCTTCATATACTGCAAAGAAGCCCTTTCCCAGAATGCTGCTGCTGCTGCGGAACTCCACCCAGAGCCGGCTGTCAGAGGAGATGAGTGGCTCAGGGACCTTGTCCCCGCAAAACCTCCCTGGAAAGGGAAAGGACACAGTCAGGATACAATGGACAATGACCCCACCTCGCCACAACCTGAAGGAAAGGGGGAAAGTGAAGAGTGACCTTTGCCATGACGGCTGGTCCTACAGTACATGCAGGGCTGAAGATGGGTCTGAGAGTTACACATCTGTATGCTTATGAAGGACAGCTCCAGATTCTAAGCAATCAAGGTTCATGGCAGAGTGTAGGCATCTTCTTCTGCCATATGGCTCCTGTGGTGGCCCTCAGGTGTGTCTGGATGGTACTGATGCTGCCTGCTCTGGTACCTCTGATGACATTCATGCCCTTCCCTTTGGGATACTGGGCACTATCTTTTCTGCTTCCCTTATCTCAGGAAGGCAGGGGTGCAGAGAATACATGACCAACAAACCAAAGCTTCTCAGCTTTTGAATTGTGTAAGGCCAGATGTAATACCAAAGGTATGGAAGACTTCTCAGTGAAGAAGAGCATGCTTCCACAGTCTTCTTTCTCAGAGAGAGGCCCAGAAGTGAAGGGGAAGAGACTAGGATGGACTTTAGAGGGGCACCATGGAGCCCCTATAAGGACCAATCCCTTTCCCCCACCCCAAACAGAGACCATGATAGAAAAGGATAACAAAGACCTGAGGGAGATTTAAGGATTTTGGAGAACAGAAAATGGTGCCCCCAATCTCTGGACAGAGCCCAGAGGGGCAACATGATTAGGATTGTCCTGCTCGTCCTGGGACCAGAACAGAATTGTCTGTGTGGGTGGTCCAGATCCACATTTGTAACACAGACATGCAGAGTCCCCCAGGCCAAGCCTGGAGTGGCACAACAGTCTGCCTGAGTGCTGGCTCCTGGGTGGGTATGGTGGTCACCTTTCACAAGCCTCAGGGATCCACAGAATGTCTCCCAAGCTCAGAGGAAGATGTAAACTGCACATCAATCTGAGCCCTCCTCTGTTTGAGACAAGAGGCACTTATGTGCTCACAGCTGATTAACTGGGGCTGAGGATGTCCAGTGCCAGGAAGGGTTCACTACAGATACCTGGCTGTCCCCATGCCTTGGCACAAAGTATGTCCCATACTAGTATCACCCCCCCCCACGGGGGGAGAAAAACATTGTCTGAAATTAAATTCCTGCTACCTGATGGAAAAGGGGCTCATAAGGTTTTGTTACACAAAACAACAAAAAAAATATTTCTTAGACACTTGTATAGGAGACCTGAAATTTGGACACACTACAGAGGAAAAGGAGGTCATGTCTTCCCAGAGCAAGGCAACGTCTGGCCACATAATTCTTAATACCACTTAAAGCCCAAACCCAGGACTGGGCAGGAATAGGGATGGGGTTGAATCTTCCACATCAGTCATGACCACTGAGCAGCCAGGGTCTATTTGGACTAAAATTCCATGGTTCCCAAAGAATTTCTCTAGCTTGGAGGCAAGCAACCGTCATTAATAATATGGGCTTTCTGGAGCTGGAGATATGGCTCAGAGGTTAAGAGCACTGACTGCTCTTGCAGAGGACCTGGGTTCAATTCCCAGTACCCACGTGGAGGCTAACAACCATCTGCAACTCCAGTTCCTGGGGCTCCAATGCCTTCTTCTGACCTCTGTGTGCATTGTATGACACAAGTGCACTTATACACATGTAGGCAATACATTCATACACATAAAATAAAAATAATAAATAAAATATTTTTTTTAATAGAGCAGGCTAAGCTGGTCATGGTGGTGCATGCCTTTAATCCCAGCACTCGGGAGGCAGAGGCAGGCGGATCTCTGTGAGTTTAAGGCCAGCCTGGTCTACATACTGAGTTCCAAGACAGCTTGGGCTACAGGGAGACCCTGTCTCAAAAAGACCAAAAAACAGAGCAGGCTTTGTAGGATAATGAAGATATTCTAAAAGTACAACTCTAAACATACTAAAAATCACTGGTATACTTTATTTATGTGTGTGCATGCATACATGTTCATGTATGTATACCTGTGTGTACAGGTGTGCATGAAGACCAGAGGTTGAGATCACGTGTCTTCCCCAGTCACTCTCCATCTGACTTTTTAAGACATGGTCTTTCCTTGAGCCCGGTATCACTGATTTGGCTAGACTGACTGGCCAGCTAACCCCAGAGATCTCCCTATCTCCTCCTCTGCTGGCCCAGCCCAGCTTCAAACTTGCTGAATCCTCCTGCTTCTGCCTCTCAAGTGCTGGAATTACAGGCATGTGCTACCATGGTCAACTCTTGACTCTTTTTTTTTTTTTTAAGTGGTTACTTTTACTATTAGCACCATATGAGACCCTGGACAAGTCACTAAATGCTACAGTTATGCTTTGCTCTTCTGAGAAAAGTGGAGAGGTATAAGGCCGAGGAAGAGTGAGGGCCATGACAGACATTTTCCAATGGCTAGCTCTGGTTTGGGGGAGAAATATGGTAGAGGGTTGACAGTTGCCTCCACTTCCTCCTGGTTCTGGCTACCTCTTGCCATTTGAATTTGGTGGGATTCATATCCAGTGAGACAAAATAAAATTGCTATTAAGAAAAAGCACATCAGAAGGGGCTGGGGAGATAGTTCAGTCAGGAGAATGCTTGAGGTACAAGCATAGGACCTGGGTTTGATCCCCAGAAACTATATTTTAGAAGCTGGGCGTGGACGCACATGCTTGTAATCCTAACACTGAGGAGAAGTAGGAGGATCCCTGGGCCTCAATGGCTTCTGACCTCTATATGCACATGGGCTCCTACATATCCACATTCACCCATGTGCTCAAATATGCACACAAATATGTACATACACACACAGGAAAAATGCATCAGAAGCCTATAAGCTATTAGTAATGGTTCCTAAGGTATGGTCAATTACTGTGGGGGAGTTTTTGGAAAACAGTGCATAAACCTGAGGAAGCACTGCTTTTCCAGGGGGAGAATACTGAGCAGCAATCAGATCACATCAATCCAAAGCAGGATTCCTTCTTTACCTAGCCCAAGTTTCCAACCCAAGTCTCTCCTTTTAAAACCCCAGCTGCTGTCACAGTCACTGAGGACCGATTACAAATGAGAGACGGAAGTTGGCATTCTTACTACCTATGAACCTAACTCAGTGAGATGAACCACCTCCCACCCAGCGGCAGGATGAACTCACCTCTGCCCAGCTCGCTGGATGAGGCCGGCATATTTTACTGCCTTGGCAGAATAAGTTACAAATCGCCCAAACCTCTTCTTAATTCTTAACTTGGCTGATATCTCAGCCTTGCCCTTGTCACCATAGAAGCTCTAATCAAAGTCCCTTTTGTTACTGAGAGTGTCTGTGTGAGACCTTCTCCAGGGTACTTGATATGGAATATCTCATTTCGTCCCCACTTGTTAATGGTTAAGACCTTAAATGTGCCCCTCAAAGCTCATGGGCTGAAGGCAGCCATCAGACGTAGAGCCTTGGGGACGCAATTACATCATGAGGTCTCTAACTTTATCAATGGATTGATCCAATGATAGATTCATAACTTAATGGGTTATTTAGAGGTGGTGGACACTGTAGGCATTGTCACCAAACTATAAGCAAACAGGTCAGGTGAATATGGGCAGAAACCTCTGAAACAATGAGCCCAAGTAAACCTCTTGTCTTTTAAGTTGATTTCCCTCAGGTTTGTTGTTACAGCAAGAGAAATCTACCAGACACAATGCTGCTCCCTGAGTCAGTGTGATGGCAGTAAAAAGGGCAGTAAAAACCCTTTAGTGTCAACTTGACACACCTGGGTTGAAGGAGCCTCAACTGGGGAATTGCCTCCATTGAACTGGTCTGTGGCCATGTCTATGGAGCATCTTCTTGATTGTTGTGTGATGTGGGAGGGCCCAGCCCACTGTGGGTGGTGCCACCCCTGGACAGGTGGGCCTGTGTTGCATAAGAAAGCAGGCTGACCAGGGGGCAGGGAGAAAGTCAGTAAGCAGCATTCCTCCATGGCTTGTGCTCCAGCTCCTGCCTCTAGGTTCTTGCCCTGAGTTCCTTCCTTGGGCTCCCTGGTGAACTGTGACCTGGGAGAACTTCCTCCCCAAGTTGGTAGTGGTCAGAGTATTTTGTCACAGCAATGAAGAGACAAACTAGAACAGAAATTGGTACCAGATAGTGAGTGGGGCACTGCTGTGACAGACCTGACGTTGGAGGATTGTGGAAGCATTTGGAACTTTGGGCTGGAAAAGCCATCATATGCTTAGAGTTTGTTGCTGTGGAGCTTGGAACAGCTATGCTGAAAGAGTTGTGAACAATGGAGGCCTGGCTTGTGAAGCTTCAAAGGGAAGCAGAGACTATCAGGGCTGTTTGTATGATATTTTGAATGGAGCCGGTACTGTTACTGTCCCCATTTCACAGATAAGAAAGTGAGGATGAGAGCATTCATCTCAAAGTTGAAGGTGGAAGCAAGATTTGAACCTTGTCAGCTTGAGATCTGGACTTTCATCCTCCCTGTCTCCTTCATCACCACAACCATCACAAAGAACCTAAGTGCAGTTCTGAACATTGTGCAATTTTGGATATGGTGCCAAACGTGTTCTTGAGAATGTAGCACCATATCCACTTCCCAGCTTGGAAAGAGACAAGCACGAATGAAGATCAAAGCCTTGGACCACAAGGCAAGTCTGTGCCAGATGCCAGTTTGCCTGTTGACTTCACACTGTCATTTATACCCATTTGGGAAACTTCCTCGCCCAGGGAGCCCCAGTAGCGGAGCCAAATGACTCCGATGGACCAGCTTGGCTTTCCTGAACTCCCCTCCCCATTTCAGGGAAAAGGAAAAAAGGGTTTTTGTATGCATTATGGTGACACCGAATGCCAAGCTGGTTCTGCATACAAAAGTACATTGTTTGAGTAATTCCTTCTAACAGCAACAGGGGAGGGAATCCAATTTCTGGGACAGTGTTTAAGATTACTGGCTGAGCTCTCTCTGCAGGCATTGCCCCCTCCCCACCCCCATCCTCATCCTCTTGCTAAAGGTAAGTGGCCCCTGAAGCAGTAAAAACCCCATTTGTGATCTTTAACCAGCTGTGAAACATTATCAATCCACTTAAATTTCTCTTGAAATCACTATGTGAAAACATGGGTCACTAACAGCCTCCTTCCAAAGAGGCTGGGTAGGCCAGAGAGAAACTAGAATGGAGAAGTGTCCGTTCCTACATTGAAATCTGGTTGCTGGGTTTAGGAGAGTTTAATAAGGAGATCAAGGAGAGGAAATGCAGATGAAGACACTGCAAGTGGGCTCCGTGGGGAGTCATAAAGGGTCCATTCATAAAAAGTTATGTGCACATTATGCTTGGATTTTCACACACTGCCCTGGGAAAAAAATGTGATGCACAGTTTTTCAGAGCAAGACGCATACTTTACAATCCGCCCTAATCCGCTCTCCCTCCTGCCAAAGGGGCATTGACCTGCCTCCTCCCAGCAGATTTCATGGCACTGACCCCTCCCAGGGACCAGCTCAGCCGACACAATGCACTTGTTCCAAACACAAAAGTTCACTAACAACTGCATTTGGAAATATCAGAGCAGGCCAAATAGTTGGCGAAGGAGAGAGCCTGCAAATGAAGACTGATGGTTCCAGGCACTGGGCCAGGTCTTGGCTGCAGCACTGTGCACATGCTCACACACACACACACCCATACACACACACCCACACACACCCACACACACACACACACACATACACACACACACACACCCATACACACACACACACACACCTACACACACACACACATACACACCCATACACACACACACACATACACACACACACACACCCATACACACACACACACACACCTACACACACACACACATACACACCCATACACACACACACACACCCATACACGCACACACACACACCCATACACTCACACACACACACACACACACACTCACACACCCATACACACACACACACCCATACACACACCCCCACACACACCCACACCCATCCACACTCACACACACACACACTCACACACACACACCCACACACACACACTCACACCCATACACACACACACACACATACACATACACACACACACCCATACACACACACACACACCCATACACACACACACACACATACACATACACACACACACACCCATACACACACACACACACACACACACGTGTGTGCATGCATACACATGCACATGTGCACCTGCATACTACAATAGTGGGTAAAATATGAGCAATTAACCGGCCCCCCAAACCAAACCATCACCACCACCAAACTGCACAAATCCTACTCCATCACTAAAAGTATAGCCAGAGACACCAGGATCCCTACTGAGAAAATCCCTGCTTCAAGTTCAAGCAAAGGGAATGCCTGGAAATCTGCCTGTGTCTACTTTCAGGAACGTGCCTTGGCCCTCTCTGGGGATCTTTGGCAGCAGAAAGCAGAGCTCCTTCCTCCTGAGGCTTTAGTCTAACCCTTTCCCGGGGTATAGGCCTGCTAGCTTCAGTAAGCAGAAATCCAGGAAGCCCAGTTAACTTTGAATCTCAGATAAACAACACATGGTGTGTTTTATCTGGCAACCCTGAGGGGAAAGGACTGCAAGATTTAGCAGTCACCTGTCCCCTTCACCAGGACATTGGAATTCTGGTCTGATCTTGGCATCTAGCTGGCCGTGAGGCTTTAGACACTGGGAGGGCTTGGCTTTTGCATGAGGCTCAGTGGGTTGAGGGTCTCTGCCAGGTTGAGGGGTCTGTGATCCTTAGTTCTCATGAAGCTCCTCCCACACAGATTTTTTAAAATGACACTGCAAAAGATCTAAACAGTTGAGAAGTGTACAAACCAAAATACAAAGCTGTCTGCCAGTCCTGCACTTCCTGTTTTCAGAGAACTCTCTCCAGGTAATGCTGGTGCTCAGACATGATTAGGATCTCTGGCTCCCCCTCCCTAAGACCTCTCTCTCTCTCTCTCTCTCTCTCTCTCTCTCTCTCTCTCTCTCTCTCTCTCTCCAGGTATGTTTGCACATGTATGTAACATGGGTCTGCTCCCATGTGTGTCCACGTGTGTGCAGGACTAGAAGTCAGTGTCAACTATCTTCCTCACTCTCCACTTTAATTTCTTTAGAGATTTGTTTTCTTACTTTTGCTTTTTGTAAGCTTTGCTTTTTTAAAAAAAAAAATAACATGATTATATTGAAAAACTTTGTATAGGTTGGAGAATTTGGAAGGGGAATGAATGCCAAACTCACATTACAGCAACAGTGAGAAATTTCACAGTATTGTTGAAGCTTGGGAGTAAAGTTTTGTCAGTAAATGATGCTCAAAAAATATTGTAGGCATGTGGAATTACAAATTTACATCCTAAAACACAATTGCATATTTTCAGTTTGAAAGTTTTATCAGTTTAGTTATTAAAGTACTTTAAAATTTATTTTTTTAACTTTCCAGACTGTGATTTTTATCCCCAGAAGTTCGATTTGGTGTTTTACATGTTCTGTAGGGCACAGGAGAAGATTCACTGGGGCTGTAGAAGAGCAATAGAGAGATGGTAGAAAACTTTTGGTGTCTGAGAATGGGAGAGGTCCAGTGTCAAGGCCTGGATGCCCAGGACCATGTGTGGAACCAAGACCACAGCTGGCCAGCAAAGGAGGTTGGGAAGTTCATTCTAGAGAATCAGGCCTCCCAAGGCTAGACTCTGCAAATGACAGAAACCTCCCCTGTCCTCAGAATAATCCCAACACAAAGGCAAAGCCACTATCATGTACAACCTGGAACCTCAGGAGAAGGGCCTGTGGGGTATGCAAGCACTCAGAGAAGGCCGAAACTGCTGCCCAATATCAAGAAGTCCCCCATCCTTCAATCTACTCCACCATCAGTCCACCACCAGAGGAATGTGGAACCATGGCTCTGGGGACCATAGCGCCAGCTCACAGGAGGGGGTCACTTTAATTTTTGAGTCAGAATCTCTCACTGAATCTGGAGTTCACTGATTCAGCTAGACTGGTTAGCTAATGGGTTCCATCCTTGCCGCCGCTGCCCACCCGCCAAGTGCTAGAGTCATAAGGCACATGTCATGGTACCTAGCTTTTTTTTTTTTTTTAAACTGGTTTAACTTCATATCTGTTTATTTTTCAGGGGAGAGAGCAGTGCGAGTCATGGCATGAGTGTGGAGGTCAGAAGATAACTTTTGGGTGTTCAGTCTTTATGTAGGTGCTGGGGATCCAAACTCGGGCCCTCATGCTTGCATGACTAACAATGAGCACTTTACCAACTAAGTCATCTCCCCAGTCCTACACCCTGTCATTCTGGCACACCCCAATGCTATTTATGACCTGTGACTCTCTCTGGCAGCTAGCATTTCTGTACCTGCTCATTTTAGGCAGAAAACATAATCCAGTACAGAGAGGTCCACCCTGTCATTGGGTGGCATACCTATTTGTTCATGCCCACATTCTTGCACATGCTGTTCTGGAGATCACTTTCTTCGATTGTCTATGTGGACTGTTAACTGCCTGATGGATTTTTCTTAATGATGGCAACCTGGTTCTCCCATTCACGCCCTGTCCTGTACCACTCCCTGGCACTCTGGAATTCCTGAGGACACAAATTCATACCTGTTCGTACCCTTGGGGATTTAAATTCAGCCCTCTAGATACAGGGGCTTGTATGCTAGTCTCTCTGGCTTCGTATCTACAGGCCCCATAGGCACTGTCCCCATCTCTTCTGACTGTTTCCTCCTGATCCAACACAACGTCAGGGCTTGCTTTCCACTCCATCTCCAGCCAACTGCTCTGGCAACAGCTCATTCTCAGGCTGGCCACTTGCAGCACAGTGAGTGTGGCTTTTCTGCTCCCATGATGGAATGCCAGGGGCCAAGTCTTCACCAAAACCTTAGACTTGACTGACTCAGGAGCCCAACCCATAGACTGTTCTAGCAATGAAGATACCCTAATCTCAGCTGAGACCTTTCCTTGTGGGTCTGTTTCTCTCTAGAGCACCATCATGACTGCCATTCCTGAGCCCAGTGAGTCCCCGTGATGACTCCCAAGACCCAAGACCACTGACCCTCTACCAACATTAATCTTCCTTGATCACCATGAGAAGTCAGTTTTAAGGGACATTCTTCTTTGTACCTCCTTCTCAATGGCCTTCACTCAAAGGTTCAACCTGCCTCTTGGTAGATGGGCCCATGCACTTGTCTATTCCACAAACATAATACTCACCCATCAGAAAGACTGGGAGATATAAATAAGCAAAGGAAAGACTCAAAACTTTGGAAAATTCTCTACCATTCTGAGAAAACTGCTATATGTTGTTTACATTTATAATTTTGAGATTCATATTGTAAATCACAAAATAGTTTCTTGCAGTTGAATTCAACCTCCATAGTGTTTTGATCATTTCGTTTTGAATGATTGTGGACAGCAGTCCTGGTTTTATTGCTCCTGTGTTCACTTCTTTCTGCCTGCTACAGCATCTAACTGTAATTCCTATATAACATATGTCTGCATGTATGCATACATGTTTTAAATAATTCTACTTACTCTATTCTGTAACATAATTTTTGTGGATTATGGTGTCTCATGAAAATTTCTCTGTATCAATACATACTCACCCACAACTTTACTTTCAATGGCTGGTAAATTTCCCATTGAAAAGATGCGTCATAATTTATTCAGCTAACTCCTGTTGAACATTTAAATTGCTTTCAATTTTTCCTGCTCCAGTGCACCTCCCCATAGCTAGAGCTTTGCACACTTCCTTAATTAGTTCCCTAGGATAAATTCCAAGAAGTGCAATTGCTGGGTCAAAGGGTGCTCACAGTTTTAAAAGCTTTTAACATGTGAGGCCAAATGGAGTGTTCAAGGTTTTACAATGACAAGGGCGCTTGAGAGCTTCCTGTGCGGGCTGCCACAATAGAACCTTCCAGATAGTAAGAGCATCCCAGAGAACACCCGCCCTCCTCTCTTAAGGTTGTCAAAGTCTACTCACCCAACAGGGGGGCCTTTCTCCAGTAACCATCCCGGACTTCCACATAATCATACCAGCACAGGCGGCTTTTAAACAAATCCATGGATGTGAAATTCAGGATGATCTGTAAAGAATTACCATAAAGTGAGTTTGAACAACAAAGCCTGAGGAGTTCTGAAAGATGCATCATGAATACTGGTGTTCTCACATTACCCCTTAGCATACAGATCCCTTGGACCACAGTAGGAGCGTCTTCTAAAACACACACACAGGAAACCTCGTGACATTAAATAATAAACCTCAGGCAGGATGGGGAGTAAACAGAAGGAGATGGGTCCTTTAGTTCTGTCTGGGGAGTCGCTTGAGCTTTTGAAGTTGCTAGGTGGTTTATAGAAAGCAAGGGGCAGTAAAAGATGGGCTGGTGTGAGTTGAGACTGGGGATTTGTAAGGAGGTAAGGGTCAATGAGGTTTAGAGATATGAGAAGATCTGGTAACATCAGTCATTCCAGAGAGTCTGGGGTTAGCCCAAGTGCATCTGAGACCTCCCATGATCAATCTCTGAAGTGAGGTGCTTCCAACAGCCTTCCTGCAGTTGGTCTGCCATTCATTCCATTGTTCTTTCTGGTTGACCACTTACTGTATATAACTGCTGTCTCTCTTGGATGTGCCTTTCCTAATAGCTACTGCTGAAACCATTCCCTGATTCTCCCCCTACTGTAACTTCTAGGTCTTTATCTCATGTTTACCACACAACCCCTACATGCTTAGGAAGCCCCCAAGGAAACCCCTACAGCCCCATGTCACAAACTAAACTCTGCTTGCTTTCCAGAGCTTGCAGGAGCAGTCTCTATCCCTTTCCCTGAGAGCTCTCAGGTAATGAAGCCTTCCCAAGGTCCCCTTCCTGAGTCCCTGCTCAGATGGAATCACTTGATCTTTGATCTCAGAACTCTCCACTCTCTTTCCCTCTGAGAGATTCTAAGCAGGTGTCTTTAGAATCAGACAGATCTAGACTCACATCTCAGTTACTGACTCTATAATCTTTTAAAAAATATTTTATGAGTGTATTGCCTGCATGCACCCTTATTATGCAGTGTTTGAAGAAGTCAGAAGAGGGCATCAGATCCCCTGGGACTGGAGTTACAGATGGTTGTTAGCCACTATGTTGGTACTGAGAACCAAACCCAGGTCCTCTACAAGAGCAGCCAGTGCTCTAAACCTCTGAGCCACCTCTCCAGCCCCAGTGACTCTATAATCTTGAGGAAGTACTTGACTTCCTGGGACTCTGGTTTCCTCATCTGGAAAACAATATGCATATCACTAGGTTGTGAAGGGAACTGTGAGAGAAACTGTATACACAGTGCACAGTGCTATGTCCAAAACACACTAAGTACTCCATAAACACACTTAAAAAAATCAGGCTATACTGAGTATGCTCTTAGTGTACCACAACTGACAGCCGACTGCTCCTTCCAGGCTTTCCATCCTGACTTTACTAAGGGCACCCACCCCTTCCCTGGGGGCAGTCCACTCAGGGTTCCACACAGCCCTGTGGTCTCCTAGGAAATGAAAAGTACCTGAGATCAGCTTTCCTCTGTAGAAAAGCACATGTGTATGTGTGCATGCATGTCTGTGTGTGTGTGTGTGTGTGTGTGTGTGAGAGAGAGAGAGAGAGAGAGAGAGAGAGAGAGAAAGAAAGAGAGAGAGGTCTCTCTCTTTTCAAGCTAGACTAGTGCATCCTAGCTTGGTACTATCTTTCCATGAACTCAGATTCCCAGGGAGTGAGGAACCCAAGCTAAGCAGTAAGTCTCTAAGACTGGGATGCCCCTAGGATTCTCTCAAATCTCCATCACACTGAAATCAGGTGATCAAGCTCAGCAATACTTATAAGCTTGTTGCACAATAATTCTTTGGTCTTTGTTTTTTAAAATCACAGCAAGGAAATGTTAGTACAACTTCCTTGGTAACACATTCATGGTCTGAATGAGAGGGATAATTATTCAGGCTAATTATTTTAAGCATGTTAGTGAACCATAAAGACTATGGGGGAAGCTGTGATGAGCAAGAGGTGATAGGAGAATCAATCAAGTTTGCTAATTACCAGCAGCTCTGGGGAAGGCTGTGTAAAGCAGAAATTGGAATAACTGGTGCAGGAATTTCAACGATGTATATTCTCTGTGTCTCCAGTGAACACTAATAATTGAGACTTAGTGAAGCTTACATGGTTCAAACATATCACATAGCCCTGCTGTACAGCAAATCAACAATGTGAGAATTACCAGACTCCTTTCTTTTCTTCTTCCTCCTCCTGCCTTCTGCCTGTGAGCACCTCTAGCAAGCACAGGGACACCATATCTACACAGTGCAAAAGGTCTCAAGTCTCAGGTTCAAGATCAGTACCATGCTGTCTTGTGGGAGGGGGGTTGTCTTGCATGCACGTGAATATGCACATGTCTGTGTGTGCATGTACAGAGGAAGATGTTCAATGTCTTCCTCTATTGTTTTCCACCTTATTTCTTTAAAATTTTTATTTTCATTTTATGTATATGACTCTTTTGCCTGAATGTATGTAAGTGCACCACATGTGTGCAATGCTTGTCGAGGCCAGAAAAGGGTGTCAGATCCCCTGGAATTGGAGTTACAGATGGCTGTTAGCTGCCATGTATGTGGATGCTGGAAATGAACCCACCCCCCTCTGCAAGAGCAACCAGTGCCCTGAACCACTGAGCCGTCTCTCCAGGCCCTACCTTATTCTCTTGAGACAGGGTCTTTCACTGAACTGGAAGCTTGCCATTTTGGCGAGGCTGGCTGGCCAGTAAACTCTCATGATCTGCCTCTCACAGCCTCCCAATGTTGGGGTTAGAGGTACACATAGCCATACCTGGCTTTTCATGCAAATGCTGAGGATTCAAACTCAGGTCCTCATGCATGTACAGCAAACACTCTCACCAATCGAGTCCCCATAATGCTTTACTATTTAGTGTATGTGAGAGCACATGTGTGTATAAGTGTGAGCCCTGTCCCTTCTGTGTAACAGGATGATGGTCTATTCAGGTGCTCAAGCTCTCAAAGGTGCGGGTTCATTTCGTAACTGCTGCAAACTTAGTTTCCTTGGGCAAGTCCATGCTTTCCTCTATAATAAGCATTTAGTACATGAGGTTAATAGGAACATGAAATTAAGTGATCCACATGGCTCACTGAGGGCAGAACCAGTCTGTAGAAAACGCTTTCAATGGTTCATAGCCATTGCTCCCTGGATCACACGTTATTCTTTAAAGTTATACATGAAAAATCCCTGCAGGCTGGCTATGGGCACCTGAAAAAAAAATCCAACATATCCCATCACCACATCAGTGGTCCAAGTTTCATTTAGTCCACATGCATCCACATATCCATTCAACATTCATGATACCACTGCTGTGCCACAGAGGTGGGATGGAGGTGGACAGTTGCTATCCTCAGTGGGCCTAAGGGCTACAAATAGGATAATAAGCCAGTAGTCATACCAAGACATGCTCTGACATGTATGATACTAGGATACTAGGGAGATCTGGGAACACAGGACATCCCCCTGCCTAGACCCAAGGAACAGAGGGCTCCATCTGGCCTGAGACAATTTGAAGAATATCTAGATTTGTAGAAAATATGGTCAAAAGATAAACTTTGGAGAGATGGTTCAGTGGTTTAGAGCATGTGCTACTCTTACAGAGGACCCAGGTTCAGTTCCCACCGTGGACTCCGTGAGCACATGCACTCACATGTACAAATAAACACACACACACACACAAATAATTAAGATTACTCATCTGCAGAATGGACATGATACATATCCTATGGTGGAGCAGAGAATATCTAACCTTGGACAAATGATAAGAGGACTTGTCAATACACAGCTTTCCTGGCCCCTTCTCAGGACCTTGGAATTTCCCATCCAAAATGGTCTGAGCCCACTTGCAGGACATACCAGGACCTCCTTCCTGGATCAAGTCTCTTAAGGGCAGATGCACAGATACATGTCTGGCCAGCTCACCCCACTGGAGACTAGCTAGAGAACAGTTGTTTGCAAGGCTGGAGTGGATGACACTCAGGAGTGTGGGCCGGGATGTCAACACAGGTGGAGGTGGAGGTGGAGGTGGAGAGTGAGGGAAGAGAAGCGAGCTGTGTTGGCCATGTTGCTACCTTTGAAAGCAGCACTCCAAAGGGTCAAGAGACTCTAGATTGGACACTTGCCCTCCAGGGCATTATAACAGTGTGTTTGTCAAGGCAGGGGGACAGACAGAGTGTAGTATGCCTTGCAAACCATTAGCGTGATTCATAACCTATGTGGATATTTAGTATGTGCCAGGCCTTCATTTTTTTAGGATGAGACTGGCTGAGAAGTCATTAAAAAATGAGTGCAAAGCAAGCAGTGCTGCTCCTGGTATGCAGTGGGTGCTTGCAACATAAGAGCTGCTATTACTACCAGTAGCAGTAAGACTAAGCCCACCCACCCTGCCCAACTCAGAGTGCCATGCCATTCCTGAATGCAGGCTCCAACCTACCTTTTCAAAATGATGCTAACTGTGCGTATTTATGGGGTACAATGTGAGAGTCATGTGTGTATGCAGTGTAGGATGATCAAATAGCAAAGTTAACATTCCCGCCTACCTTCTCCCCTGGAGTGACAGAGATCCTCCAGACACAGTGTGAGTAGGAAGGGTAGCCATTTGGGAAACCGGGTGCCGAAAAGTTTCCTGTTGTGTCCTGCAGGGTCTCTCCACATGCTGCACAAGCAAAATGACAACTGTGAGGCAGGTGCACACACACCACTCCCCACCTGAGCCACTCCTGTAGGGGATGAAGAGTAAACATTCTTCATAGCCAAGCTCTCTGAATGGCTGACGAGAAGCCAGTCAGGTGGATGAGTATTTTTCTAGATAGTGCAAGCAAAAGGAGCACCTCAAGTGCCAAGGGATAGTGCCCACAGCCTCTGCTAAGGGTCTCAGGATTCAACATGGCCAGAGCTGGGTTCAGATCTCAACTCTGCAGCCATGGGCTGGGCCAACTCAGGGGACCCTAGAGATCACTTGCATTACATGGAATGGGTCTGCTTCTGAACTTAGCATCCACAGCGTGTTCCAGAGACTACTTTTTAATCTATCATCTATCTATCTATCTATCTATCTATCTATCTATCTATCTATCTATCTATCTATCTATCCATCCATCCATCCATCCATCCATCCATCCATCCATCCATCCATCCATCCATCTATCTATCTATCTATCTATCTATCTATCTATCTATCCATCTATCTATCTAGGGTTGGAATGAAGCCCAAAGCCTTAGGCATGCTAGGTGATCACTCACACACTGAGCTACACAGCCCCAATCACACTGTATGTAGCCATTATGATTACTAATAATAACACCTGTAGTGGAAAGAATACAGAAGTGCAAGTGAGTAACACAAAAAGAAATGCTTTGAAACTCATTTCCACTGTTAGCTTGAATCTTGCTTCTTTTTTTTCCCCCTGCTATGCACCTCCAAGAGTGCTATCAAGTAACCAAGAAAAGAGAGAAAAACAGAGGTATGGGGAGCTACAAGAGGATGATCTACAGTGTGCAATTCTGTCCTTGGGTCTCTGACGGTTGTCCAGTAATGATTCTAAAACTTAGAATATGTGTCAGAAAAAAAAAGCCTTCCTCTCATTTGTCCTTAAAAGAAATGTGGAAGGAAGTGTTCCTGTCCTTTGGGAGCTAAAAGCTTTTGTATTTCCTAAGCCCCAAGGATTGAGATTCCCCCAAAAGACAAGGCAGTAGCCCTCCTTTCACAGTGCTATGCCCGAAGTATGAGGAATAAGCATCCCTGAACATCTCCCATGCACAATCCCACTACTGCTTGGCCACCATCCTAGCATGCAGTGACCCCTTGGAGCAACCTCCATCACTTTTAGAGCTGCAGGAAGGGGCATGTGGAGCAATGCCCATTATTTGCCTCAGGAAATCCCAGCTATCAGGGCTTCAGTATCACATTACGGAACAACTGCCAGGCATCACGAGGATCATTCTCAGCAGTCAACATCCCTGAGGGTTCCATGGAAATTATTTTAGGATAATCATCAACATTCTGCAAGAACAGATACATTACTGTGTGGCTCCAGGATATTTACCAGCTGCCTCGAAGTCTTTTGGGAAATAAGCAGTACATACAGTCTAACTAAATAAATACTATGGCATTTCCCAAGGAATGCTCTAAGGTTTCCCTTCACATTCAGCAAGGTTATCTGATATGTGTGTCCTATATTTCAGCCCTAGCATGTCCCCAGATGACTAAGAGCTAGGTGGACATATTTCCTAGTTCTGTGAGGTTGCAAGCCCATGCAGCCTTCTGCAGTCCCTGTGGTCCTGCATTGTATTGCAGTGTCACAGTGCAGATTTTCCCCAATGGCCCCCATTTCAAACATGCCACCCCATATCAAAACATGTCTGGTCTGTGGGGGCAGGGAATGAAAAAGGCTACTGGAGCTACTACTGATAACGGAACTTTCTTCTGTCTTCCCCAAGCTCCTGAAGTTCTTTCCACCCCATCAGTAGTACAAACTTGGCTGTTAAAACCAATGCTTTGCACTGACTTAGAAGTGTCTTGGGGTGTCACTGCGGGATGGCAGTGAGTGTAGGAACTGGAGTCAAGCTCATTGTGCTGTTTAGTTTTAACTGTCAACTTGATACAACCTACAATCACCCGGGAAGAGAGTTCTAATGAGGAATTATCTAGATCAGGTTGGTGTATGGGCATGTCTGTGGAAGACTGTCATGACTGTTAACTGACATAAGACCTAGCCCTTTGTGGGTGGCACCATCACCTAGGCAGGGAGTCCTGAGCTATAGAAGATAGGAAAAAGCTAGATGAGACAGCACAAGCAAGCAAGGATCTCTATATGTATGCTCTAGTTTTTCTTGACTATAGATGTAACGCTTTAAGTTCCTGCTTTGACTTCTCCACAGTCATGGACTGTAACCTGGAATTGTAAGCCAAGTAAACCCTTCTCCTTTGTTGCTTTTGGTCAGGGTATTTTATCACAGCAACAGGAATGAAACTAGGATGGAGATGAAGACAAATCTGAGGGGAGGTGACTGCTGCCACAGCCTTGAAGACGCATTTGCTCCAACCCCAGGATACTGTCTGGTCTTTAATGGCATATAGCTGACTACTGACCCTGAGGACACAGCACTAAGACTTCTGCCTGTAGCGTTTGGGAACCAGATCCCCATCACCCCGAAAGCACTCTTCCTCATTCTTCATCTTTCTGACATAACCTCTTGGTTTATCTTTTGCCAACCTCTCATTCCCTATTCCCCTAGAAAGGAAAGATGCTCTTGTAGCGTTCAGTCACACTGTACTACATTCTTTTTGCTCTTCCCCTCTGTACCCAGGGCTTTGAGAAAAAAAAAAAAAGTCCAAAGCCTCCCATAGTCAGGCTATGGGTTCTAAGCCTACTATGAACCTCTTCATTTCATTTTCTGCACTATATTGCACACTCCTAATAAAGATTAAAAAACAGAGCTGCCAAGGAGTGGTCCCATCAGTTCCCCAAGTCTCTTCCCAGCAAGGGGGTGGGGCTGTTTGCACACAGCATGCAGTGTGTAGCGTGGGATGCCAGGAGCTGTTGGGAATCCCCGTGGCTCACAGTTACCTGGGCATTTGTACAGCTTCCTGGCTTGAGCTATATCTCCCTGACTGAGCCGCACGCGTTGGCCAATGGTTGGCCTGACGCCATTGTCGTCTCGACGGGGGAGGATGGTATCTAAGAAAACTCCTCTACAGGAAGAAAAAAAAGAGAGAGAGGGAGAGAGAGGAAGAAGAGTCAAGGCTGCCAGGCTTTGCATGAAGAGATTTCCAGTCTTCATTTCCTTCCCCATAACCCATTAACATTCCTGTCCCCTCATCTGCTACCTCCTCCCCTCGCTGGCATTGGCTGAGTGATTTTCTTCACTCCTGCTGGCTGGCAGCATTCTATCTCATCAGCTGCCAATGAGAAGGCAATGCCAAATTGAAAATTGTGCCCTAGCCCAGTAGTCTAAAGCCTGCTTTACATGGATGTACTAAGTATTTCCACAAAGCCCCTAATGGGCCCTAGCCCCAGAGCCATCATGCAGCACAAATCAGGGACTAACATTCAGAAATCATGGTGAGTGGCGCCCCCTGGAATTGTTCACTAGGCAGTACCTCAGGAAGAGCCTAGGAACTGGTCCACTGTGAGCCTCCCTGTATTTGGCCAGTAGGCACAGATAGATGAGTTGGTCAGACTTTGAGGGGCCTTGCTGGCCAAAGGAGTGATCAGATGGACAGTGGGATAAATCCAGTATGCAGGAGGTCACTGAAAGAGGCCAGGCTACAAATTTCTATGCCAGGCCTGCCTCTGCCATGCAGGTTAACGTGGCAAGTCCCTCCCCCTTCCTGAGTCTTTCGGAGCCTCCGTTTTCCCTTCTGTACAATAGGAGGCTGGCTTGGTTGATCACAGTGGTCCCTCCTAGCACTGACATCTTATTCTACACCTATTGTGGTGGTTTGAATGAAAATGTCCCCCATAGGCTCCAAGTGTTTGGACATTTTGTCCCCAGATGATGGTGCTGTTTTGGGAGGTTTTAGAAGGTGTGGCTATCCTGGAGGAAGCACGTCACTGGGTGCGGGCTTAGAGAGTTCTTAAGCCTTGCTCTTTTGCTTCCTGTGCCCGCTTGAAGTTGTGAGAGCTTAGCTTCCACCACCATGACTCCCTGCCATGATGGACTCTTGCCCTTTTGGAACTGTAAGCTCAAATAAACTCTTCCTTCTATAAGTTGCTTTGGTCAGTGTTTCTATCACAGCAACAGAAAAGTAACTAATACACCCATGTAAGGTCTAAAATGCTAGTTTCATTTCTAAAATACAGACGGGCCCCCTGGATGTCTAGCTGAGTGCCAGCCTATTCATATCTCCTTGCAAGGTCTAAGCCCCCTCTTCTGCCTGCAGACCCTCTATCTGGGCCTGCCCTGGAAGCTGTTCCTTCTCCAGGTGGCACCCTGTTTCTTTTTTTCCTAACCGACTTTCTGGAAAGAATTGTCACCCTTCCTTGTGAGATGCTCGGCTCTCATTCACTCCTAATTCCAACAGCAATCCAACCAGGCCAGCAACGGTCACAGTGCACCTGCCGTCATGTACTTCTCTAACCTCTCCTTGGGATCTGCCAGTCCTTTTCTCCTTACTCTTTCCTACCACTACACAGGGCACTGTCCCCTGAACTGAAAGAGAGCAGCCATTTCTACTTCCTGCTTGGATGATGCCCTTCTCCCTACCCTTTCCATGCTATACCCCCAAGAGTTTTAGCCACCCATGGAGAACTGTTACATGTTCAGAACTGTCTACTAGACCCTAATGCCTAGTGCCACCTTTCTGAGCTGTACTATGGGCCTCATCTACAGCCCCAAATCTGGCCCATAGTTGAATTTCTTTCCCTCTTCAGTTTGTTCCCTGACTCTTGTCTCCTGAGATGAGATTTCTAGAAGCCCTCAGATCTTCCCTGTTCCTACTGTGCTCTTGTTGAAGCCAGTAACCAAGTCTTGTCCATTGCTCTGTGTAGACATTCCTTGAGTCCATACCCTCCTCCTGGTTCTCGGACCACTGCCTTAGCTCAGGTGATTTTTTTTTTCCAGAAGCTTCTTGACTGTGTCCTCTCTGTAGTCTCAGCCTCTTTTGCTCTATCCCCCAATGCTGCAATGTGACCATCCCAGCATGCCATGGTAGGCATGTGCTCTCTTTGCTTAGCACCTTCCTGTCACTTGGCTCTCTGGGCCCTCTGCTCCTGGCTTCTGATTTCCTCACCAGCCACACTGCCTACTGTCTCCTTCTAGGTCCCCAAGTCCTTGCACACAGTGTCCCCTCCCTGGGATGCCCACGCCCTTACTCTTGTCCACTCACAAACTTCTATTCATTCTCCAAATCCCCATCATCTATTTTCCCTCTTAGAAGTTCTCCCTGGGCTCTTTCTATGCCTCCCATCTGGCGTTAGCATCCCTTTGGGCCTTATTCATTTGACTAATCTTCTGACACACTATATTGTTTGTTTTTTTTAATGTGTTGGTAATATTTTCTCCTTTGCCAAAAATAAGTTTCTCAGGACTGGGTTCCTCCTTTCTGTCCTTAGGGACCGAGGCAAGAAACACTTCTTGAATTAAATTACATAGCCACAATCAGGAAGTGTTTTCAAAGAATTTCACAAAATAGTTATTTAAAACCAAAAGAAACAGCTGAAATGCACACATTGCCTAGCTATTAGCTGTGTCTGCTCCTTTCTCTCTTTCAAGCTCTGTGTTTTCCTAAATTCTCTCCCACACTGGACAATGCACATCCCCATTTCTTCCTTGTTACATCACTTCGTTATCTTTTTGGCTGTGAAATACTTGTTTTTCTAAGTCAGACTAACTTGCTTTCTCTCCAATACAAGCACATGGGAGTCTAGACCATCTGCTGAGTTCCTTTTTGACCTCCCCTTGCCCAACATTTGACCCTCTGACCTGGCTTTCTCTGAGTCCCATGGTGTCATCTTCCAGAGTCTTTCAAGATACTTCAGTGGAGCTCCTGTCCTCCATTGCCTTCACCAGGTTTGAAACCCTGAGTGATGAGTCTACCAAAATTCTGAATTCAGTAGCATGTTACTTGATAGACAGGCACGTCTGCCCTTAAGACATGGCTCTTTGTGATAGTTATCCTAAAGCAGGAATTTTGCAGCACAAACAAGGATCATTACATGGTCTAAGAGTTCTGGCTTAATCCATGACTGGCAAAGTCACCAGTAAGCCTGGCACGTAAAGACCTCATTACCTATCCTCCACTATTCATAGACCTCCCCATGTGCCAGGCCCAGGCCCATCTCATCATTTCATCATTATAAGACCCTGGGAGGCAGACCTGTTTTCTCTAGGATTCCCTCTCTACAGGGAGAAAACCCTGCCTGCAAGGCTTGAGTGACATGTCTTAAAGACTGAGGTAGAAATGAAGACCCAGCCCTGGAACACAGGCAGGCTGAAATGCTCCACAGATCATCTTAATCTTTCTGTCCACTGCATGTGTTCCACTACCAAGAAACAGTAGGCCTCCATATGCACTAACTGACTGTGTAAGTACGTGGGAGGCTTGGGACCAAAGCAGCAGCATGGCACTGGCTCACACTCTGACAGTCTTTGAGCTGGGACATCCCTGCAAGTCCCAAAGATACTGGCAAGGCACTGGGCTCACTCTGGAGCAATGTCCTCTCTGCACTGGGCTCACTCTGGAGCGATGTCCTCTCTGAGCAGCACTGCAATAATGCTTTGTCCTCATTTCTCAATGGACAAGGCCCAGCACTGACTTCAGGCTAAACTAAGAGAAGGTTTGGCAGATGCTTTAGGGGATAAAACTGTCAGTTCTGAGTTTTCCAAACAAAGACATCCTTATACTAGAGAACTGTCTCCTTGGCTCCTGGACCAGTGCCCAAGAAAACTTCCAAAGATATCACTCTCCACCGCCAGGGTCTAACCAAGGGGGAAGGGGGAAGAAATGCAATAAAGATGGAAGGAAGCAGCTCAATCGTAAAGAGACTCTGAGACTGGGTTTCCCATCAGCAGGAAGGGCTTTGTCTCTAGATGAGCCTGAATTCTGCTGGTATTTTCGTTCAGTACTCTTTTCAGAAGCTCAAAGGCAAGGTACAGTTTAGCCCCAGGGGAGAAGTGACCAAAAGGCACGAGCTGTGGTTACAGAGTGGGGAAACTTCTGACAAAATGCCAGAAAAGCCCACCAGTAAAAAGCTATAGTACCAAACATCCTTCCAAAACCCCACGCAGAAACCCAGCAGAAAGGACAGCGCAGGTTTCTGCCTGAGGCAAATGAGATTTGTGAAAAGACCACTGGAGGAGTCTATTTCTCCACTCACCTGTGTCAGGGTTGGCCTTATGGTTTGTTCTGGCCAATAGGACATGGCAGAAGTGATGTCATGTGGGTTCTAGAAACTGGCCCTTCAGAGGCCTTTGGCTTCCCCAGCTGCCCTGCCCTCGAGCAATTCTGGGTCCTCAAGCATGGAAAAAAAGAGCCTGGCCAAATCTGCTGAAAGATGAGGGCCACAGGAAAGAGGACCAAGGGGTGTGGCCAGGTGCTACCAACTTTTAGATGTGGGACTGGCCATCTTGGACTCCCCACTCTAATCAAGCTACCAAATGACTGCTGCTGTGTAAGTGTCTATGGGCAAGACCAGAGAAGAACGAGGCAGGCTGACCCAGAGAATCAGAACAAAACAGTAAGTTTCAATTTTAAGACACCAAGTTTGGTAGCAGTGTTGTGCAGCAATAGATAACATAGTAGCAGCAGCAGCCTTGGGGAGGCCGCTCCACACCACTGCCCAGCATGCCATGCTGCTGCCCCCTTGCCAATCTTCTTCCTAGGAACTCTGGGCACTCTGGATGAGGTGTGAATATTTCATGGCTTTAGCTCCCCGGCTCTCCTCTGGTCTCTGCTGATAAGACGGTTCATGCTCACCATAGAGTTAGTAATGATTCTCTCCTGAGGGGCCAAAGGAATGGGATTGTGAGCTAGAGATCACAGAGAAAAATAGAGATTTAGAAAGAAAGACAGACAGACAGACAAGAAAGGATGAGCCTCTCTTTGGCCTCTGGCTCCAGAGCTCAGTGCAAGAGCTGGCACAGAGCCAGTGGGAGGAAGGTGGCTTTGTTCCTACATGCCCTACATAGGAGAGACTTACAGAGTCTCCCTAATGGAGTTATCACCAAGTCTGTGAGTATACACAAAGATCTTCAGACAGAACAAGGTTTCTGAGTCCTCAAGGGGCTTCCCTCACCCATTCCCCAGCACTGCAGCTCTCCCAGGTCCCTCTGAATGCACACATTTATTTATAAACTTAGTAAGTACATATTGAACACCTAGTATGTGCCAGGCACCCTACTGAGTGCTAGGGACTAGAAGAGACCGAAGTAGTCTCTGTGCTGAAGGATCTCAGTCTACTGAGAAGAGAGGAATGCAACAGAAAAACATTAACAGATTGAGAATTATAAATGATAAAATGATATGGAGAAATAAGACCCAAAGCACAAGCCCCTCAGTTGGGCCATCATGACTTTGCACTTCTGACAACACTGACAGTGTCTCTGCATACCAGCCTACAGCCCCTGAATGACATGGTAATAGCAGTTATTTCCTTCACTGTTTTCAAAGCTGGTGGGCAGCCTAATCTCAACACACACATGCCCAACCATCTCTCATGTTCATGGGTAGGTTTCATCCTGCTACTCCACTGGCTTCCTGGGACTCCCCTCCTGTCCTAGTTAGCTTTAACTTTCAACTTGATATGAACTAGTCATCTGAGAGAATTGCCTAGATCAGATAGGCCTATGAGAATGCCGGTGGGGGACTGTCTTGATTGTCAATTGATATAAAAAGGCTCTGCGCACTGTGGGTGGCACCATGCCCTGGTTACGTGGTCCTGGCCTGCATAAGAAAGCTAGCTAAGGATGAGCCTTTCAATGAGCCAGTAAGCAGTATCCCTCCATAGTTTCTGCCCTGACTTCTCTCAATGATGAACTGTGACCTAGAAGTGTAAGATGAAATAAATCCTTTCCTTAGAGGTGTTTCCAATAAACACCTCCAAGGTGTTTTTGATCAGAGTATTTTCTCACTGCAACAGAAAAGAAACTAGGATACCTCATAATTCCAGAATGGACTTCTCAAGCTCTAGTTTACCAGACTGGAAGAGAAGGCCCCTCCAACTTCAGATGTCCTCTGTGGCAATGCATGCAATTATCTGTGAACTCCCCACCCACCTACAGTAGACCGAGAGATTGCCACATGAAGGCTGGAGCTGGAAGGAGATCAGAGAACAGCTGGCCTAGTCCTCTCATAAGAAGATTATCAAAGATGCCGATTTGAGCAACACTCTTATTAGAGACCTGGGAAACCCTGCCTGGGTACAGGAGGCAGATAATGACTAAAGTAGTCATGTGGCCAAAGGAAGAGCATCCCTTAGGGAATTGAGATTCCATAGTCCTATAACCTCATGAATAGGGTGCCTTACTCAAGAACCAAAGAGCAATCAGTTTCTTGCCCCCAAGCCAATGGATCCCTTTAATCTTGATGCACAAGGAGACTCAAGAAATGAACTGTTTCCCTCTTTGCCTTGCTGACTAGGAAGATTTCTCAGTCCCAACAAAGCCTGCACATCTTAGTGGCATGTATTCTGAGCACTAAATGCATTCCAGACTTCAACATGTAGCTCTCAATCCTTACTGCTCCAAGTTTTGTCACCTGTTTTTTTTGTTGTTGTTGTTTTGTTTCCTCGTTATTTACATGTATGTTGGAAATCACCTCAAACCTTTTTGGGAAGAATGATTAAACAAATTAACAGCTCCTTTTAAGAGGGAACTTTAAAGTGCTAAGGTGGAAAAGATATTTGTACTGTGTGTCTCCTTTAAGGGCAGAGAAGTCATACCAAACTGGGACTAGTTGGGAGCCACTTCTGTGCACAGCATGCTTGTGTGGCCTAGACACAGGGACAATTTTGAGAATACTTAGTATCTGCCTTGCATAGTCTAGCACATGGGACAGACCCCAAGGATGCCTGAAGTAAACAGCTGGCTCAGCCTTTCTCTGGTGGGCAGCATCATTATCCATGAGTTGAAAGCAGGGAACCTGAATTCTTGTTCTCACTCTGATCCAGTTACCTGTGCTCACTTAAGCTGGCTGGAGTCTCATTTTCTTTACCTCCGAAATGAATCTGTGATTTATAGCCCTTCCATCACTGGTACAGCCTAGCTTCAAATAAACTGAATCCCTTCTAAAAGAATGCCAAGTACCTCCCTGCTGAAATAGGCTTTAAAGATGCCCCCTCCACTGGGAATTTTACATGAGCCTCTAGGTTATTCTTCCAGATGACCTTTCCATAATTTCCCTTTTCTACTTTGCTGCTTGTGACACGAGGGCATGATGGAACGCCAGCTTCACAACGGGGCTCAATCTTATTAGTGGGAACCTGATTAGATTATATTTCACTGCAGCCCAGAGGCCACTGTATTTCAAGGACAGACAGGCCAGCCATTGTAGGAGCATGCTGAGATGTGCTCGCTCTCTGCAGACCTCAGGACTCCTACCCAAGCCTGCGGCAGGTGCAATAAAACAGATGGCCCCAGTGAAGGTTCCGACCTTGAGAAGGTGTTCCGGGCGTAGTGCATGATGCTGTCAAAGTCGTAGGTCTCTCCCAGAGAGCTCACCTCACCGGCTTCCATTTTTAAGAAATTGTACTCCTGACCTGTGACACAACACTCTGTTAAGGCCTTTGGAAGCGTGAAAGCACCTGAAAAGAAGGAGGGAGAAGGAGGGCGCAGAGCGACTTCCCACAGATCCAGTTGCCTGAAGGTCAGTCAGGTAACAGGACTCCTGGAGCTTCTGGTTGTTGTTTGTAATAGATCAGAAATTTGAAACATAGAGCAAGCCCTATGTTCCCCTGTCCCATCATCCAACTCCCCTCCCCAAGTGCCACTTGAAACCTTTAACTATGCTTGCAGACAAATTAGCTCTTAGTCTACTTGCCCAAGAAATTTTTGTGGAGAAATAAAATTCCAGGGCTGGAGAGTGGTTAAGAGAGCACACTGCTCTTATAGAGGACATTAGTTCAGTTCCCAGCACCCACACCAGACAGCTGAACTCAAAACTGTTTGTTGCTCCAGGGAATCTGATGCCTAATTCTGTTTTCTACATCAAGAAGTGAGAGTCTATTTTCTTATAGATGTTTTTCTTTCTAAATTCTATTATTGGGGCTGGAGAGATGACTCAGCAGTAAAGAATGCATTCGCTCTGGCAGAGGACCTGAGTTCCCAGCACCTATGTCAGGCAGATCACAACTACCGATAACTCCAGTTCCAGGGGATCTCACACCCTCTTCTGGTTTCTTTGGGCACTTGTACTCACATGCACATACCCACAAAGACATACACATACACACACACACACACACACACACACACACACACACTTAAAAATAAAATAAATCGGGACTGGAAAGATGCTCAGTAGTTAAGAGCACTGACTGCTGTTGCAGAGGACGTGGGTTCGACTCCCAGCACCCACAGGCAGCGACGAACTGTCCTTAACTACAGTTCTAAGGGAATCCGAAGCCCTCTTCTGACCTCCATGGCATTGCACGATACAGGTGCACTCACATACATGTAGGCAATACATGGCATACACATAAAATAAAAATAATAAAATATTAAAAATAAATAAATAAAATAAATCTTTAAAAAAAACACCAGACATTCTGATATTCTGATCTTGCAATATTAAGAAAAAAGAAAATGAGTCAAAAAGTTAGTTAAATCAGACCTGGGCTTGGTGGCATACACTTTTAGTCTCGAACTTGGGAGCAGAGGCAGGCAAATCTCTGTGAGGTCAAGGCCAGCCTGGGATGGTCTACATTACGAGTTCCAGGTCAGCTGGGGGCTACAGTGAGACCCTGTCTCAAAAAAACAAAGAACAAAAAACAAAATTAATTAAATCCCTAATACTTCATAATTTAGATTCTCTGAAGCAGTTTGGGGGGACAAGCTCAGGCAGTAAAGTATGAGGATTTGAGTTCAATCCCCAGAACCCATGCAAAAATAATCTGGCTCTATGGCACATGATTGTGATCCCAGCCGTGAAGACAGAGACAGATGGATCCCTGAGGCACACTGGCCAGTCAGCCTAACTGACTCGGCAAGCCTTGGGCCAAAGAGATGCCTTGTCTCAAAAAATAAGGTGGAAGGCTCCTGAAAAACAAAACTAGAGGTTGTTCTCTGGCCTCCACATGCATACACATACCTGAACACACCACAAACATCCACAAGCATGCACACACGTGCACACACACACACACACACACACACACAGAGCAGATTTACAGTTCCCAACTATATAGCTCAGCTTGCTGCTTTCATGTTCAGGATCCATGTTTTGCTTGTAATATTTTGTTGTTTATGTTAAGACAAAGTCTCAGTAGTTGACTGGGTTGGGTTGAACTCACTCTGTAGCCCAGGTTGGCCTCCAATTTGTGGTCTTCCTGCCTTAGCCTCCCTGGTGCTTAGATTATAAGCATGTACTACCATGCTTGGCTCTAATATGAATTTTTATATCAAATTATGAGACATGAGAAGATGCGCACATAGGGTCAGTCTCTGCATGCTGTCTGCCTTGGGGCCAAATGGCTCTAGGCAGAAGCATTGTCTCTACATGCATTTGTTCCTTAAGTACTTTGCGATTTCTAAAGGCTGTGTTGCCTAAATCAGCGAAAGTGACTCAGGAGAGCAGTCAAGAGGACTCTGTTTTGGCTGATCCGCCCTGACACTGCTGACAGTGTTCTGGTCGATTCTGTTCCGTTTAGGAAATGGGGTCAGATTTCACTGTCCTTTATGACAGGGAAAATCATTATTTCACTTCTGCTGTAAGTTACAAGCAACATCTTTGCAGGAAGGCCACGGGCAGACAGTGGCAGTGGGGTCACTGTCTCCACAGTTAGCCATTAGCCTTGATCAGTTCTAGGCAGTCCCTCCCTCACACTGCCCCCAAAGCCCATGGATGCCTCTTTGCTGTCTTCTAGATTCTATCCAGGCCTCCTTACCTGGCTGGATATTTTCTCTGATGATAGTGACATGTTGGTCTCTGTCTGGCCGGGTGTGTTCGTGCCAGAACCCAACGACGTGGCCAAGCTCATGGGCCACAATGCCGAACTTGTCACAGTTTTTCCCAATGGATATGGCCTGCGGACCTCCTCCTCGGCGTCCCACATAGGAACAACAGCTGATGATAGAAATATATAGATCAGCAAGGCAGTGGCTATTCCAAGCAAGAGGCCAAGCACTGCCAGTCTCCACTTCCCACTGTGTAAAAATGTAAAAGAAACTAGGCACTTAAGACCTGGACGAACTTTGAGCGTCCAGCTTCCCACCAAGGCAGAGTTCCCCCCAAATGCATTTTGGCCTTTTTTGGTGGATACAGACCACCTCCTCGGAAACTAAAGATGGAAATGACTTTCTGGCCTGGAATAAAGCATACTCTGCACCTGTTTCTCCCCTAAGCTGTGTGTCCATGGAGTCTTCTCTAAAGACAGAAGAGATAAGAAAGAGGTATGTGAGTTCTAGAAAGTGCCTCTGGGTATCACTGTACAGAGCTTAGAGAGACTGTCTACTGGGCACAGCTACTGTTACAGGAAATATTTATTCATTATTCATTATATACTGATGAACACTGGTTTTATGAGACTTTTATTGTCATTATTATGTGTGGTGTTATGTGTGAGGATGCATATACCAATGCGTGTGCATGGGTAAGTCAGAACATGACAAGGGGGCAGGGATTCAAGCTCAGGTCCTCATTCCAGAGAAAGTACTTTTACCCATTGAGCCATCCCCTTAGCCTATTAGTCATATTGTGTAGCCCAGGTTGGCCCAACTTTTGATCCTCCTCCCTCAGCCTCTGAGTGCTGGGATTACAGTGTATGCTACTGTACCAGGCTTATCAACTGCTCTGATAAAGGTATAAAAAAGAAATTAAAGGGGCTGGAGAGGTTAAAAGCACTTTCTGCTCTTGCAGAGGACCCAGGTTCTGTTTCCAGCATCCATATGGCAACTCACAACCATCTGTAATTCCAGTTCCAGGGGATCTGACACCCCTTCAGGCCTCCACAGGCACCAAGCATGCATGTGGTATGCATACATACATGCAGTCAAAACACTTATACACATAAAATAAAAATAAATAAATTTTAAAAGTTTAAACAGTCCAAATCCAGATATTATCTATTGCACATTTAAACATACACATCATATTATGAAAGACTGAAATCTCTCACCCTATAGGCAATCTTTTTACCCAAAGACAACAAAAAATTATATTTTTTCCATTATAAAAATCTATCAATCTGGGCTAGAGACATGAATCAATGGTTAAAAGCACTGACTGTTCTTGCAGAGGACCTAGGTTTGAGTCCCAGCACCCACATGGCAGCTAACAACCATCTGTAACTCCAGTTCCAGGGTATCCAACACCCTCTTCTGACCTCCACAGGCATTGAATGACATGGGTGTACTTGTATACAGGCAGACAATACACTCATACACATAAAATAAAAATAATAAATAAAAAATTTAAAAATCTATCCATCTATGCCATAAATAAAGAAAAATATTTAATTTTTTATGCATTTTGTGATCAGTCTCCTTCATGGAGTGTCTTGGGTTTCTATTAGCTTCTCAGTTGGCTTTCTGGGGTTCCTAGGCACACTGTCACATTAACTTTCAATAATGCAAATTCTGCCTTATGCCTGTCAATATTCATAGTGTCTAGTGTATTCTCCCATTCAAGCATGTTTGTATTTTAGAAAAGTGTTAAGTAACTGTAGAGATCATAAACACCTTTGACTTGTTCCTGATTTTAATAGAACTACTTCTAGGATTGCTACTTCTGATAAGCAAGCTATTGGCTTCTAGTTTGAGCGTATATAACATACACATGTAGTTTGATGTTACATGTACTTGCATATACATAAAATATATACATATACATACAAGTATAAATCTATATGTATATATGAAAATACATACTTTTGTAATTGACATCTATTCCTGTGTTACCTTGGTTACTTTTTTAGATTATTTTTTTGTTTGTTTATTTACGTGTATGTGTATTTGTGTGTACATGCACGCACATGTCCATGGAGGCCAGAAAAGGGTGTCAGATCCCCTGGAGCTAGAGTTACAGGCAGTTGTGAGCCACACAACATGGATTCTGGAAACAAAACTCCAGTCCTTTGCAAGAGCAGCAAGTGTTCTAACCACTGAGAGTTCTCCCTGGCCCCCTGGTTACTTTTCTGAAACAAAATGCATGTTGTATCATCTAGATGCTTTGCATCTGCTCTGATGAGCACATGGCTTCTCTCTAATCTGTCAGTCACATGAGACAACTTCTTGAGAGAAAACTGGTCATGTATTCTTAGACAAACTGCTGATAGCCTCTTCTTTCATTGCACATCTAAATTTGAAACTGTAACTTCTTATTCTAATTTTGCATGGTGACTCAGATGAGGAATGTCTGTAACTTGTTACTTCATTTACTATGGTGCTCTCTGCCCTTTAAGGATAGCGGGTGACAACGCCGTGGCAGTTTTCTAAAAACATCGGGAAATGTCCTTTCTCTTATGCTCTGTAGTTTCTATAGCATCAGAATTGTATTTCTTGAGTGACTGAAAGAATTCCTTGTGAGACTCTATTCTGTATGTGCTGCTTTGGGGAAAAGAGGTTTCCCTTTCCATGTACCAATTTCTTTTTTAGCCTGGTTGGCCTGAAACTTACTATGTAGACCAGGCTGGCACCAAACTCACAGTGAGCCACCTGCCTCTGCTCTAAGTGCTGGATTAAATGTGGCCCTGTCTGTGAGGCCTTTTCTTAATTGCTAATTGATGTAGGAGGACCCAGCTCACTGTGGGTGGAGCCATCCCTAGGTGGGCCTGGGCTGTGTAAGAAAAATAGCTGGGCAAGCCAGGTGAAGCAAGCTAGTAAGCAGCATTCCTCCATGGTCTTTTCTTCAGTTCCTGCCTCTAAGTTTCTGCCCTGGCCTCTCTCAATTTTGGCTGTAAGCCAAATAAACCCTTTCTTTCCCAAGGTGCTTTTGGTCAGTGTTTTATCACAGCAACAGAAAAGCAAACCAGGATGCTTATATTCTCTTTAGTCTTATTCTGTGATGATGATGGTGGTTTGTACACACACATATACATACACACTTACATACCACACACACACACACATCATCATCATCATCATCAACTTCTATGAATTGAAAATTTCATTGTTATTCTTAACTCTTTAGATATTTTGTGGACTATCTTTAGCCTTATCTCTCTCATTCTGAAGTGTGGGATTTTCATTATCCTAGACATTATGCAGTTTTAAGGTGGAGTTTTTTTTTAAATTGAGTTTTTGTAATTTTGTACAACAGTTTTGAATCAAATTTAGACCCCCTCCCCCATCCACATCCCCCCATCCTTCCGACCAGACTTCATATATTCTGCCACACGTGTTAATTCCCAACCAGTCAAGCATTTGTACCCAGATGTCCTTCAGTGTGAATCCATCCACCAGAGTCTAGTCAGCCCATTGAGTGATTATGCATAAGGGCTACTCTCCGAGGTGGAAGTGGAGGGGTTTTCAATTTACCCGGTGATGCTCATTCTAATCTTTGTTACCATGTCCAGTTTCATTGCTTTGCAACATGAGAATATTTTAATTCTGTTTCTAACTTTTATAACCTATTTAGATGTTATTTTCAATTTTATTATTTATTTTTATTTGTGTGTGTGTGTGTGTGTGTGTGTGTGTGTGTGTGTGTGCTGGCATATATGTGCCACAGCACAGATGTGTTGTCCTCATTTTCCACCTTGTTCAAGATGAGTCTCTTGTTCTGTTTCATACGCTAGCCTAGGTGGCCTGAGAACTTCTGGGGACCCTCCTGTCTCCACGTCCCATATCTAGGAATGCTGACATTACAGACATACACTTACCATGTCTGGTTTTACATGAGTTCTGAGGGGCCAAACTCAGATCTTCACACTTGTGCCACAAGCACTTTTTCCACTAAGTCATCTCCTCAGCCCTATTGAGCCGCTCTCAGTGCTTAATGGACAGGCAGATCTCTCAGCCTTCCCTGTACACTTACAACCATGTTACCAGGCTACAAATCCAACAGACCAGAAGAATAAACTCTAGTAATATTTTCCAAATCCTCTATAAATCTCTAATTATTTTTTAGTCAACTTGATGCTCACCTACTTAGGCTGACAGAAATGAAATAAATCTCCCAGTGTTGCTTTCTGTTCATCTCCCTTGGGTTCCTGAGCTTGTTTCATGACTGTTAATGCTGTGCCTTTGGTACATAAATATATATGACAACTCTATTCTCACTGTAGCTTGTACTATTTCTCATTATAAAGGTCTCATTTTTTAAAACACCTTCTGAGCTCACAAACAAAAAGAAGGCTGGGGGTATAGTTTAGTGGTAAAATATTTGCCTGATGTGTACCAGCCCTGGGTTTGAACCCCAGCGCTACAAAATTAATTCGCTGATTAGTGAAAATCAAAACAAAACGGCAAAAACCTTGCTGTAGATGAAGTTATGACTGTGGCTTCCTTTATGCTAGCTGTGCTGTGTGCTCCTGGCCGTCTTCATTCTCTTTTTACAGTAGTCTATGTGGAAAACAGGAGGTTGGGATTTTTCTCTTTTTTTAATCTATACAATAACATTTTCATTTTAGTAGGAAAACATAGGACAATTAATACTTGTCAGCATGACAGATACCTTCTACTGAGAGAGAGAGAGAGAGAGAGAGAGAGAGAGAGAGAGAGAGAGAGAGAAAACACAGTTATGGTTGCCCTTGCATGCATGTGTAGAGACCAGAGGTTGATGTCAGGTGTTTCCTCTATCACTCTTCACCTTATTTTTGAGAGGAACCTGTAGCTCACCATTTTGGCCAGACTGGCTGGCCAATGAGTCTCTGATGATCCACCTATCTCTTCCCCCAATCCTCCCCCAGCTCTGGGGTTAAAGACATATACCACAAAATCTAGCTTTCACATGGGTGCTAGGGATCTGAACTCATGTCTTCATGCTTATGCAGCAAACACTTTACCCACTGAGCCATCTCCCCTGCTGGCATGACAGACATCTTTCGTCAGAACCCAATCTCTTATTGTATGCAATGTTTTCTGTAGGAAGTAGTAAGCTCATGGGATCTCTAAAATCAGAATGTAAGAGCTATGAACACCCACTCTTGAGGAAGAAGAATCCACTGCTTCATCAGCTATCAGATTCTCAGTGGAGTCACTACTCTAAGTCTTTCTCCACATGAATTATCAGCCATGCTGTCCTGGTGATAGGATTTGTTGAGGGTGAGTCTCCTTGGAGCCACAGTCTGGGCCTTCCTGCTTTGCCACAGGGCTTTCACTGAGGACAAAGAGCCTCCAGGAAAGCCTGGCCTCCCATAAATCACAGTTCATTGGAAATGCTTAGCATGACATAGAAAATTCCAGACTCACGCATTCTCCCATCTGATGCCTCTGATTCTGCTGAGGTGACCTTACTTTCTCATACTTACCCACAGGTCCTGTAGCTGAACACAATAAAGCTTTCCTCATCAGTCCTCTCTATGAAGGTCACACAGGTGTGCTTTTCCCAGTGCCTCATGGCCTGCTTAAAAATGGCCCTCTGGCTGCCTGAAATGACAAGTCAGGTGCTGGTCACTTCACTCCTGGGGCCATGCCTTCCTTGGACACTAAGGTGTGGTCTTAAAGCTTGCTCTGAGTTTTTCAAAACTTGTTAGCAATATTGTACTTTTTTTTTTTTTTGGAGACATAGACTTCCTGTAGCCCCAGCTGGCCTGGAACTCACTAACTCACTGTGGAGACCAGGGTGGCTTCAAGCTCACAGAGATCTGCCTGCCTCTGCCTCCAAAGTGCTGGGATTAAAGACGTGAGCTACCATGCCCAGCTACTAATCATTTTGTTTTACTTGAGATTTTAAGAGAGATTCATCACCTACACATTGTAATTAGGGGTGGTAATAGATGCATTGAGTATTAGATTGTGGTGATCATTATATAATGTATATGTATATCAAACCAGCTTTTAGTACCTTAAAGGTAGGTTTGTTAAATAATTTTTGAATACTTTATTTATTATTTTTATTTTATGTGTATGAGTGTTATGCCCACATGTAAGCAAGTGCACCTGTGTCATGCAATGCCAGTGGAGATCAAAAGAGTCTGTCAGATCCCCTGGAACTGGAGTTATAGACAGTTGTTAGCTGCCATGTGGGTGGGATTTGAACCTAGGTCTTCTGCAATAACAGTCAGTGTTCTTAACTGCTGAGCTGTCTCTCCAGCCCCTGTTAAATATTTTAAATCATTTTTAAGAGCTTTTTCTGGTGACCCAGAATAGAAATGCATTGTGAATCATGATTTCCTTAGCTGAGTGTGCTCAGCATGTCTGCAATCCCAGCACTCAGGAGAGAGTCAAGAAGATGACCACAGGCTCAAAACATGCCTCATCTACATAATGAGTTTCAGAGCAACCAGGGAGACATCATAAGACCTAGTTCCAAAAATAAATAAATAAATACATAAGTAACCTTTCTGAACAGCCAATACCTAGAGAGTTGGAATTTATAGATTGGAATAAATTTCCAAAATATCCTAGACTCCCCAGACTTCCTTTGTTTTGAACAATATGCTTAACTAAACTTTTCTAAAGTTCTTACCCAGGCCACTCAATTGGGGATTATAGTTTCTGAGTTGGTGGGTAGGCTTTCCCCAGCAGAGACTTCTGCCCTCATTTCCTGTCAATGCCTGCAGAAGGATGTTCTTATGCATTCTATAATTCCATTTGCAGGTATATCTGTGCATTTTGAATAGGATTCAGTGTTTTCTAGGGGGTCCTTGAGTTTAGTTTTCTATGAGGCCTTTGAAAGCAGGTGAATTTCATACTTCCTCTGAACCTGACTTCATAGTCCACGTTAATAATCATGTAGAGTCATTAAACACTCTTTCCCAATATCTATCAATATGACAGAAGGAATAATATTTTAATTTTGTTAGAAGCAATGAGTAGTTTCTAGAAAAACTAATTGGGAAGTACAGAGAGAATGGGGCAGAACCGTGAGCTTAGATAGATGCAAATAAATGAAAGGATGAATGAATGAATAAATAAATAATAAATAAATAGTGGGGGAAAGTCCTATCATAGTCTGGAACACACTATGGGTAGACTGTCATATTGTCTCTCAAAACACATACATAGAAAAAAGAATAACTTAACTGTCCTTTTGTTTATTTATTGAATATCTTGACATATTTTTGGTTCGAATTATTGGAAGTTCAACCATACATTCAAAACAACATGTCTTTAATCCCAGCACTTAGGAGACTGAAGTAGATGAATATCTGTGAGTTGAAAGCCAGCCTGGTCTACATAGTCAGTCCCAGGCCAGCCATCCTACTAATAACAGAACAACACAAAACTCTGTATAAGCAAAATTCTAATATACAAAGTTAGCCCAGTTCGATGAAGGTAATATAAGTCTTTAGTCATAAGAGCATTCTAGAGCATAGTTTGGGAACCAAAGAACAGCAGCAGCTTCTCCCAGAGCTTCATGTCAATATTTAGGTGTGTGTCTGTCTGTCAGTAGATCAGATGGAGTGCCTGGATGACATGGGGAAGGCTTATTCATCTGCTCATGGTAGCTCCTAAGTGCCTGACACTTGGAAACTGGATAACGTCACCAAATAGAGAAAAAGTGTGGCCTAGGAAGTGTGGCCTGGATCCCAGGCTCCAGGTGTCCATGGTCAGGTCTGCAGATCTGTTGATAACTTGCTCATCCATAGTTTTCAGTAGGTGTGGCAAGTCTGCTTCCATTAGCCTCCTTACAGAAGCCACTATGCATGGGCAGGTGTAGGGCTAATAAAAGGCAGTGAGAGACTGGGCAATTCACTCTGTGGGGCATTTTGCTCAGGCATGCGGCCAGTGATGTACTGGCCACAGCCTGCTATGGGCAAATGTGGGAAGTGCCTCTGTTGTACAAGGCACTGTCCTAGGTGCTGGAAATGTAGGATTAAAAACTGTGGAGGTGGGGGGAGTTCCTGCTCCCACAGAGGAAATTACAGAAGTAACTTTGGGCCATGATAAGTGCTGTGAAGGTTTTAAGACAGAGCTGGGGCACTGAGTGATGGGTGAGGTGATGAGGAGTCAGAGGGTCTATCTGTGTATGTGTCACTTGATAGAAGAAGCCAGCCAGTAAAAGCTCTGGAGAAGACAGAAGGGCAGCTCAAGTGTGCTGAGGGGGTGGAAATAGGCATGCTCTGCAGTGGGAAGGTGGCTACTGAGGCTCAGTGTGAGGATGAAGGAAGGAGGGGAGGGAGGCAGGGCTCCACAGGGGGCAGTGTGGGGCCAGGGTCAGCAGCCTCAGCTTTAGTCTGCAGCGATTTGCATAGTCCAAAGATAATAGTATTAACAGTAAATACTGATGATGTGCTAGGCATGAGTCTAAGTGCTTTATCTATATTAACCACATTCAATTCTTAAAATAACTCTATGGGATATACTGCCATCCCCATTTAAAGAACAGGGAATTGCAGACAGACAGAGACATTTAGTAATCTGTCAAGGTTGGAGCCAGAATTTGGACCAGGAACTCATGCCACATGGTGTGACACATACGTGTGTCCTCTGGTTACTTCCTCAAGCACTGCTTAGATGGGTGGTGCCAAGGGACTGCTAGGTCCAGGCTGCTCATGGGTCAGAGGCTGGGAAGCCACCATGGACAGCACCGTGTTTGCCACCCCAGAGGACTCATCCTCACACACTCACTGTGTAGACCTTTTTGGCCATTCAAGATCACTGTGATAATGCCCTCTCTCCAAGAAGGTTTCAGAATAGAAAAATCTCTGTGGACACAGCCTCCATAGAGGCCTGATGGACCAGGCCACACAGGCACAAAGGAACCTTAGCAGGTAGGATGGCTGTGGCCCTGGCATCCACTGGGTCCCATGGAGTCCCTCCTGGGAAGACACTCTCAATCTTGGGAGCCCAATCACTGGCCTAAAATGGCCTCATCTAGGGCTACTGACCAGTGAAGTTCCCTCCGATGACATAAGGAATGACTCCTCCAGGCCATATCCGCTCTGTCCTTGAGGTTGTGGCTCTTCGGACTCGGGCAGAGGGCTTGGCTGTGGTGTCTGAGGTCCCAGGGCCATGCAGAAGCATGGCATCTTCCTTGCCATCTGCAAGACAGTCAGGGCATCATTTACTTTCCCCTCTGAGTCTTCCTGAAAATTATGCTTAAGCTTAAGATTCTATTGGCCACAGAGACAAAAGGGATGAGAAAACCTATGTTCTAAGGGGGACATTTTGCCTATGCAGGGCTTTGAATACCTGGGAGGAAATGTTCCAGATGTAGTGTAAAGCAAGTGCAGCATGTGTTCTGAGCTACTGAAAACAGATTCTTTATAAAAATAAGTCCCAGAAAAGCAAAGCTTCCTACAATCTTGCTCTTCCCAGCCTCTGTGACATTTGGACCCTTAAGAGAAACATGAAAGAAATAAACAGTTTGATTTAAGGCTCTGCATCAAGGGGTTGGAGAAACTGCTCAGTGGTTAACGGTGCATACTGCTCTTGCAGAAGACTTAAGTTTGGTGCCCAGCACCCACACTGGGTGACTCATAACCATCTGTAACTCCAAGGGAGCCAACACCCTTTTCTGGCTTCCATGGGTACTGAACTCAGGTGCACAAACCCATACAGGCATGTATACATAATTAAAAATAAAGCATGATTTTTTTTGAGACAGGGTCTCCCTATAGGTCCAGCTAGCCTGGAGCTTGCTATGTAGACCAGTCTGGCCTTGATCTCACAGAGATCCACCTGCTTCTGCCTCTCAAGTGCTGGGACTAAAGACATATGCCGCCATGCCCAGCTCAAAACATAACATTTTTAAATATTTTGTTATTTTAATTTTATGTATGTGTTTCCTGTGTATATTCAGAAAATACACTCATAGACATAAAATTAAAATACGTAATTTAAGTAAACCATGTAGTAAAATGCCCTCAGAGGTCAGAAGAGGGTGTTGAATTCCCTGGAACTGGAGTTACAGATGTTTGTTAGCCACTGTGTGGGTGCTGGGAACCAAACCCAGGTCCTCTGCAAGAGCAGTCAGTGCTCTTAACTATTGATCTCCATCCCCCAAACATGAAATTTTTTAAAAACATAAAAAAGGTTCTAAGTTCAAAAGGGCCCCCAGAAATTGGGGGTAGGAAGAACAAAATGTTCAGGTGTATAGTACCAAACATCTGAGTCCGTATCATGCTGTTCCTCAATCGGGTGATTCAGTCCACTTGCTTATAATCCTTCATACCTACTCAGAGAACTCCCTCTCCAGTTTTTACATTTCTTCCCTAAAAACTAGAAATTTAGAATTCTTTTTTACCTTCCTTTATTTCATTAATTTCATTTGGTTACTTCCTGCTCTTTTCATTTGTTTTATTCTGATATTTCCTTCCTAATTTTTCTTTCTTTAAAAATGAGATAATATTCCCAATCCTAAGAGTCACCCTTTTATAGTGTACAATTCAGTGGTTTTTAGTATATTCACAAGGTGTGCAACCATCACCACTAACTGTACGCTGTCTTCAGCACCCCCAAAAGGACCTCTGTACCCATTAGCAGCTACTCCATTTCTCCTTCTGGCCTCCGGCACCCCAGTCATCTACCTTATTTCTGTGGCTGTGCCTGTTCTGAGCATTTCATACAAATGAAATCAGGCCACAAGGGACCTTTTGACTTTGCCTCCTTTCACTTGGCATGTTTTCAACGTTCATCCACATTTGTAGCATGAATCAGTTCTTCATTCTATTTTATGGCTAACATTCCACTGTTTGGACAGAGCACATTTTGTTTATCCATTCATTCCTTGGTTGATAGACATCTGAGTATCTCCAGTGTTAGGTTATTATGAATAATCCTCCTATGAACACTCATGTGCACATTTGTTTTGGTGGACATAAGTTTTCAATTCTGTCGAGTATATGCTAGACATGGAATTGCTGGGCCATATGGTAACTCTGTATTGAGCAACTACCAGGCTTCTTTCCACAGCAGCTGCATCACGCCATGTCCTCACCACCAGAGCTCAGAGGCGCCTTGTGAACATTTGCTGCTGTTAATCTTTTTTATTATGGTTATCCTAATCAGCATGCAGTGGCATCTCATTGTGGTTTTGATTTGCATTTCCCTAATGACTAATGATGCTAACATTTCATTATGTGCTTATTGATCATTTGGATATCTTCTTTAGAGAAAGATTTCTTCAAATCCTTTGCCCACTCCTTGTCTTTATTTTCTTATTGAGTTACAATTATTCTTTATATGTTATAGATCCTAGGCCTTTATCAAATACATGACTTCCAAATATTCTCTCCCATTCTGTAGGTTTTCTTTTCATTTTTATGATGGCATCATGTTGCAGTTTGGATCTTACATGTCCCCTGGGTTGGTTCCTGCTATTCAGACAAAGCTGCTATTTATTATTTCATTCTATTACAGGTTTTTGTGTGTAGCTAAGCTTTCATTTCTCTGGTTAGATACCCAAGACTGAATTACTGGGTCATAGAGTAAATGGGTCTATTTCTGGGTTTTATGCTCAGCAGCAGCAATCTCTGTGTCTTAATTAATGTAGTGATATAGTAGGCCTTAATCTGGGGCAAGGAGATTACTTGCACTTCAGCCTACTCTTTGTTGTCTTAGTGATATTGCCATGTAAATTTATGAATTTTGCCACAAACATTTTAGAATAATTCTATTTCTACAAAAGTCCAAAAAGGCTAGAATATTTATAGGGATTGCATTAAACCTATGGATCCACTTAGAGAAAACTGGCAGCAACACTACACTGAGTTTTCCAATCCACAAACGTAATACATATCTCTATTTACAGAGGTCTCCCTTGAGGTTTTCTATCAGTATTGTTAATTTTTATCCTACAAATCCTGTGTGTATTTTAAAAATGTATATCTAAGGATTTTGTGCTCTTTGGAGTGTCTGAAGTCATACGGTGTTTTAAATTTTCATTTTTGCATGCTCATTTGTGGGATATAGAATTATGAGCATTTTGGTGTGTAGCTGTGTACTGCTATCTTACAAAACTAATTTTTGTTCCAGGAGTGTTTTGTTTTGTAGTTTCTTTGGGATTGTTTACATAGACAAGCCCGTCATTTGCAAACAGGGGCAAAACTTCACTTCTTCCTAATTTAATACAACTTTGTTTTTCTTACAGGGAACACTGTTGAATAATGTGTGAAAGGAGACACTTTTGTCTTCTTGATCTCAGAGGGGAAATATTCAGTCTTTTGTCATTAAGTATGACATACACTGAAAGCCCTCTCTACATAGCCTGTATTGAGTTAAGATAATTCCTCTCCATTCCTAATGTGCTGAATCTTTACTCTGAACAAAGATTAGATTTTATTAACTATTTTTTTCTGTATCAATTGATGTTATTGCAGGATTTTTCTCTTTTAGCTTACTGATATAATGAGATATATACATATATGTCCATAGACATTCAGACAAGCCTTGCATATTCTGGAATAAATCTCACTTGCTTATGGTGTATAATTTTTTATACACTATAGGACTTGAGTTATTCATATTTTATTGATGATTTCTGTGTGTAAGTTCGATAAGATTTCAGGCGAATCTAAATAGAAAGGATCTACATATTTTCAATCCGAGACTCTTAGTTATTTCATAACTGATACATCAAACTTTTTCCTTCCTTTTTTCTTTTTTGTCCTTTTTGTTTCAATGTTTTTCTTGTTTTTCATTGGATGAAGAAATTTTTCTGTACTTACTTTTCATTTAGCTTACTCTCTTTTTTATTCATTAACATTGGCTTTCATTTTTAACATTAATACATGAATAATTAGTGGCTAAATAAATTAATTAATGACTAAAGAATTAGTGAACTAGAAGATAGAGTTGAAGAAATCAGAGTCCCCAGTCTCACTCTGAGAAATAATACTCTTTTAAGAGTCTTATATGTGATTGTATTGCCTGCATGTGTGTAAGTGTACTCCTGTTATGCAGTGCCAGCAGAGGTCAGAAGAGGGTGTCAGATCCCCTGGAACTGGAGTTAGGATGGTTGTTAGCTGCCATGTGGGTGCTGGGAACCAAACCTGGGTCCTCTCCAAGAGTAATCAGTGCTCTTAACTGCTGAGCCATCTCTCCAGCTCCGAGAAATAAGACTCTTAAAACCAATCTCAAACTCTAATTTTTCACGTTGCTATTTACTTTCTTTTAAATTCCCAATTAGTCTCTATTAGCAGTAGTGTTTATGTTTGCAAGATAGACTAATCTACCTTCAAATTTACCCATTTCCTTATTCATTACTAACCATTTTCATCCTACTTCTCCTGCCAGGAATTGTGTCTCTTAATATTCTTTCATGAAGATAATAAACCTTCTCAGTCTTTATCTGCATATATCTTTCATCCCATTCTTCAAAGAAAGCTCAGCTGGGACTACTTAGAACTCTAAGTTGATAGGTACATTCTGTTAGCACTTCAAAGACAGTGACTCAATGCTTGTGACTTTCACCATTACCAGGGAGAAGTGTCTTCTTAGTGTCAGGCTCATTTCTTCGCTCCCCGTGTCTCATCTTCGGTCCTGTTTTTCTGCTGTTGCACTGTCTTCAGTATTACTTGCCATCATTATACTGTCTATGTGTGTTTTTATTTTACTTTCTCTTCAGAGCACAGTATCATTCTGAATGTATTTATTTATTTTTATTATGTGTCTTTTGTCTACAAGTATGTAAGTGCAAAGCATATGTGCAATGCCTGAAGAGGCCAGAAGAGGGCATCAGATTCCCTGGAACTGGAGTTACAGATGGCTGTTAGCTGCTGCGTGGGTGCTGGGAACCAAACCCAGGTTTGCAAGAGCAGCCAGTGCTTTTAACTGCTGAGCATCTCTCCATCATTAGCACAGTATCATCCTTGACATTTTATGTCTTCTTCCAATTCTGGGAAATTCTAGCTCATCTTTTAGTTTTATTTGGTGTCTTCCCAGTCTCCAAATGGGTTTTTTCTTAGTTTCTAAAATTCCTGTTGATTAGCCACTGAACGTGATCATTTAAATTTCCATCTTTTTACACTGTTTTTTTTTTCTTTCCACATTTTGTACCTTTTTCTGAGTGCTTAAATTTGCATGGTTTCTTCAGATCTAT